AACCAAACCAAATTCAGAAATTTGTGGTTTTTTGTCTTGTGTGAATAGTGTAGTATAAATATTCAATAGTGCAATATAAATATTCAATACAACCTTGAAATATTGGATAAAAATTGTGCCAAACCATTATCATGATAATGATGATCATAATCATTATCATTAATAGAAATTGAATCAAATATATAGGGCCAGAAATGAAAAAAATCGAATCCAATAGATCGATTGAATCGTTATCATTGATTGAACGTAGAATAATCATATTATCATTATGAATTCAAGTCATTTCAATTCTATCGTTCACCATTGGAAAGAACTCATTCATTTTGAAATTCATTTTTGTTCACATGCATTTTTGTCAACATTATCCTAGTAGGTCAAAAAAAAGAGAAAAATGTTTTACTTTTTTAACCAGGAGTAAAAATGATAAAAACATCATCAACAACAACAACGACAAACGGCAAGCAAATTTGCATTTTTCTGTTTTTCTGGTTAACTTTCTTATTTGCAAAGAATTCTTGACGCTTTTGCTACAANGATTTCTTTTTCTTTTTATTTCTATTTATTTCGTTCATTCACTAATGACAACAAACCCAAATAATAATTACAAATAAACTCCCTCAAGCAATTTTTGTTCAATTGAGCAACAACCACCAAAAATTTCCGCTTGACATTTTAGAAAAAACCAAACATTCAGCATTCGATTCTGAAATGATGAAATGAGATTTTTTATTTTTTTATGGTCCTTCAAATCAAAAATCAATCAATCATAAATAAAAAAGCAGGAGTGAATTTTTCTCTTTCTCGATAATAATCGAATCCTGAATTTGATCGATCAATTTAGATTGAAAAAATTGATGAAAATTTTTCTTTTAAACATAATTGACATATTGAGCAACAAGTTTATCAATCATTATTATTGATCATCAGATTGAATGATAACTTATTATCTGTTTGTGCTTGTGTGTTTATAATCAAAATTGTAGCTATAACAATTTATAATTGATCGGAAATTAAAATCATCATGGGTTTTAGTGTGACAATCTTTAAATTATAAAAAAAAGTTTAAAAACATCTTAGAAATGTAACAAATGTCCAAAATAAATCTTTTTTCGGGTTTTTTCATCTGGAAAATACCCGAAAAAAATAATCTTGGTGCAATTATGAAATTCTTTTCTTTCTGGGGATCAGTAACGATGCATATCATACATGCATTTTTGTCAACATTATCCTAGTATGTCAAAAAAAAGAGAAAAATGTTTTACTTTTTTAACCAGGAGTAAAAATGATAAAAACATCATCAACAACAACAACGACAAACGGCAAGCAAATTTGCATTTTTCTGTTTTTCTGGTTAACTTTCTTATTTGCAAAGAATTCTTGACGCTTTTGCTACAATTGCTGCCAAAAACCATGTCAATCATTTTGTCTTTAGGTTTTTTCGGTACCCTCTTGTTACATAATGGTTATGCTTGTCTGTGTGTCTGTATCAGATTTCATTCAACAACAACAACGCAAATATGTTAGAGAATTTATAATCACCAACCAACCAACCAACCAACCAACCAACCAACCAACCAACCAACCAACCAACCAAACAAACTACATCCCCAAACAAATCGATCATTCGAACTAGAGACATACACACATATAATAAACAAAAACTGCATTCATTTTTCTTTATTAATTTTATTTTATATTTTGTATTTCGTTGGTTGGGATATCCAAAAGAAAAAATTGTTGTTGGTAAAATGGCTTTTTTACTATGAAAAAAATGAGATAATATTCTTTATCCGGAAAAAGAAAGAATATAATTATTTATGTGATATAGAGAAGAAAAAATGATCCAAGAAAAAACAACAGCAAAACGATGCAAATGATAACCAATATAATGGTAATGCTGATAATGATAATGATGTTTATCGTGAATGCCATTTCCACACACACCAGAATTTCGAGAAAATGTATAATAAAAATTCATTAAAAACAACCAAACAAAAGTTATGGATTTCTGGTCATGTTCCAAAAAAGTGAGAGAGAGAGTGTTGAGTGTGAGAAATTGACAATATTAACAAACAGAAAAAAACAACAACAAATTTCTTTGCTTTAGGTTATATTTGATTCAATTCATTTTGTTTGTTTGGTTTCTTGGTGGGATGTCTACAGACTTTAGAATTCCATAGAATCATAATAATAAAAATAAATAAACATTTTTTTGTTGCTTCTAGTCGTCTAGAATTCGATAGTCTGGTTCATTCATTCCTTCATTATCTCAAACATGATGATCATCATCATTATCGATTGATTCATAACTTTATATATTTTAATGAAAACAATTCTCACTATTTTTGTCTCACTGTTTTGGCCAAATTCTATTAGTAAAAATAAAAAACATTTGATAATTTTGGTAAAAGTATTAAATTTTTTGTTATTGTTGCTCATTTTCTTTTTCCTGCGTATGATGATGATGCTAATGTTATTTTTTCTCGCATCATTTCCTTCCTTCTATCATCAATGATGATGAACATTCAATCATTTAATTTAGTTAGCGATTTTGCTGTTGATGATGCTTATTATTATTATTTTCTTCAAAACAAAATTTTCTTCTAATGTAATCGATTTTGTTCGTTTTCGCTTTATTCTCGTTTGGATAATTTATTTAAGAAACAACAAAATAAAATAAAATAAAGTATAGTAAAGAATTTTACCTTTTTATCATTCATTTATTGATATTTGAAAAGTGATAATGGAAAGCAATCAAGTGACAAAACAAAATTATATTATATTTAGCCCCAAACGTTTATATAACCAAGTTTTTTCAGTGAAAACTTTATCATTTAACATCATCATCAACATCGATACAATCGATAAATTGAAATGGATTTTTTGTTTTGCTAGTTATTTTGTTTTGTTGATAATGTTGATTGTGCAGAAAAAACGATGATGATAAAGAATAAAATTCAGTAAACATTCTCAACAGCAACAAAAACGAAAAAATGATGCATTTTTTCCGATTTGAATGATGACACAATCCAGAAAAAATTGAAAAGTTTCAAATTTTTTTTAATATTGATCTTTTCCAGTTTTTTTTGAGTTGTTGGAATTCATTTGTTACCAACGAAGAACAATAAAGAAAAACTGAAACAAACTGTCACTTGATTTTCAATTTTTTTTCATGTTATTCTCTCAGACAAACACACACTTTATCAATGGAACATATAGAGATGTCAAATTGATGTAATGTATTGTACACATCATCATCATCAAATGACATAAACATATCAAACATGTCCCGAAAAACGAAAAATTTATTGTCTGTTATTTATAAGGATGACTATTATTATTATTTTCCTTGTAAATAATGTTTAAATCGACGAAAAAATTCAGTATATTAAACAACATATGCAATTTTTTCTGGTTGAAAAAAATCGAATTCTTTTTCCGTTTTTTTCTGTTGTTAACTATATTGCAATCGGATATAATATTGAAAACGAAGAGAGGAAAAAAATAAATATATTGTTTTGGTGGCAAAAAAACAAAACCCAAAACCAAAATTATCATCGGAAATATCCGATAATATTAGTTTGGATTTTGTCTTGCCAAACAATGACATGAATTCATTTATTTATTTCTATTTCGACAGCAACAACAAACACATTACATAATCTAGCAATTGCATCCGGATTTGTTTTTTTATTATTCTTTTTCTCATTATTATTTCTATCTTTTTGGTTTGTTTGCTATTGTAATCAACATCGGAAACTTACAAAATTGAATCTTTTACTCAGCCTCACTATATATATTGATTCATCAAAGTCGATCATCATCATAGACAGAAAAAGAATAAGAATTTTGATATAGAAATTTTTTATTTATTTGTTCATCAATTCACATTTGATTGAATAAAGTGGTGACCATTTTCTTGTTGTTTGTTTTTGTTTGGTTTTGTTTGAACATGATTATCATCATCATCGTCAACATTTTATTCAAATGAAATTAGAAATGAAAATATTTCACATTCACAATGTCTGATATATAGCAGGGAAGCAAACTTTTTTTTCTGATTAATTTTTTTGTTTTTGTTTTTGATCATAATCGATATAGATATTTGTTTTCATTAATAAATGAAAGTTAAACTAATATTGACATAAGACAAATCAATACTTTTTTCTCTTGGATTGATCAATCGATCGATCGATCGATTGATTGATTGACCATGTGATCGATTAATAGGCGCCGTGGCTATCTATTTCTTTATAACTTTGTCTGATGGTGTTAAACTTGTGAATAAAATCAATGGATATTTTGTCAATTATGTCAAGTGTTTTTTTTGGATGGGGTTGACTTTGATTGAAATTATATAGAAATCAAATGAGAGCCAAGAAACAAAATCAGTATTTAAATCTTGATTGTGATTGCAAAAAATTTCAATTTAATTAAAAAAATTCAAATTTAATTGAAATTTTTCAACAATAATAATACAAAAAATAGAATCAATCAATGAAAAAAGAATAAAAACCAAACGAAACTTTCGGCAAACAAAATGCAAATTCTTGAAAATAAATGAATAAAAGAACGCAATAAGAGCAAAGAATATTGAAATGGATTTAATGTATTCTATTGAAATTTGATCGAATCAAATGTTTTCATTTTTGTTATTTTTGTTATTCGACTCAATTGAAAAAACATTGAATTCAATTTATTTATTGATGTTCAGATGATGATTGAAAAAAAACTTGTTTTCGAATTCAAGTGATTTAATTTTTTCAATGTAAAAAATAAAAAAGAATAGAATCAATTTTCGAATTAAATTGTTGATAAGCAATAAATATAAATTCATTAAAATTTAATATAGAGAAATATATTTTGAATCAAATAACAATGGATAAAGGATATCATAGCAATCCACAAAAACAAGTGAAAACACATTGAGTAAATGAAAATATTTAGAAAAATTTCTAAAAAAATTGCTAAATAAACAAAATATAGATTTTGATTTTTCCTAGGACAAATTTTTTAAAATGAACCAACTATGTTTGTGGCTGTCAATGATGATTATTAAAATTAGAATTATCATTGGAAATTATTTTTGTTGGTTGAACATCGCTGTTGATTGTCATCATTGTTGTCATTGAATGTTCTGGTTTTAGATTGGCCATACTGAAATATTTTTTATCCGATCCAAATTGGGCTGCTTCATGTGCGCGTTGTGGTAGATATTCATTTAATGTTTCAGGTAAAAATGATGCTATTATTGATGCTATTAAACATATTATGCCTATTATAAATAATGGTATCCATGCACCATATTTTCCCTGTTATATGACCAATCCAATTATTGAAATTAGCGAAATATTTTCAAAAATAAAACTTACAATATAAACTATTTGTGGTGTTAAAATTCCACCAATCGAACCGATTGTAGCTGTTATACCTAAACCTTGATTACGTAATGTAGTTGGATACAATTCGGATGAATGTTGGTAGATAATCATAAATGTACCGGCAACACCGAATTTAGCAATCATTGTACAAGCAGTGTAGAAATATTCATCATATTGGCGTTTAATTAGAGCGGGCAATATAAGTGCAATTGAACAAATGGCCATTGTAATAACATTGGTCCAACGTCTTCCCAATCGTGTATTAATCAATTTCCAACAAATAAATAATGATGGTAAATCAATGAATGAGAGTAATAGATAATTATATAGTTGATTATTGGCCTCTAAATTCACCGTATTACTATTTATGCCACCATAACCAATTATACAAGCTAAAAATACGATAGTTATCATTAATGTTTTTGCACGTAAACCGGGCATTAGAAATAGATCAAAAAATGAATCTTCATTTTTCTCTTTCATATCTGTTGTTGATTTTAGTTTATCTTCATCACTTTCTAATGACTATTATTGCCAATATTTGAATTGAATATTAATTTGTCTAATTTTAACAAAACATGAAAACTCACCATTATATTCATCATTAGATCGTCCGGTACACTACGTTTATTGAATCGACAAATTCTGACCAATTGTTCATAAGCTTCATCATAACGTTTTTTCGATATCAACCATGATGGTGATTCGGGTATCCATCTCATCAATTGAAAAATGGATTCAAATTGAATAGAGAGATAAAAAAAAAGAAAATAAAAGACTTACTTATAAGCAACGATAAAGAATAATGTAAATATGAATTGTACCCATGTAAATGTAACCCAATTTCCTGTTAATTTTAATGCCAATGTTAATGAACAGCTACCCAATGAATAGAATATTGCCGATAAACATGATGCTAGTGTGCGATATTTGTGGCTAACTAATTCTTGAGCTATTTTCAAAGAAACAAAATTAGATTAAACTTTTTGCATTTTGAACGACATCTATCGGATGTCAATAATGTTGAAATATGATAAATTTTTTGAACAAGCAAAATTAACACTTACTTATCACAAATGGTAATTGATAGTAAACACATAATATACCGCCAGCAAGAAAACGTGTTATAATGAATGAATAAATATCTTTGAATATGATCGGTGATAGACAGGACATTTCGGCAATAATCAATGTAATAAGCAATGCTTTTCTACGTCCAATGCTTTTTTCAAATAATTATGTCAATTAATTTGAAAAACACAGAAAAAATTAACCTACCTGTCGGATAGATTTGCAATTAATGGAGTCATAACAGCCAAACCAATTGCCGTCAATGACATGATTAGATTAACATAATAACTACGACCGCATACAAAATTAAACTTTGTCAAATTAAACAAAAAAGATGAAAAATCATACACGAGAGAATAGAAAAACAATATGAAACATACCCATGTAACAGCCGTTTCAGTATACAATGATTGATCATAAATCCAGCCATTATTGCATTCAATTTTGGTTGATGTTTGTAATGTAGAATTCATAATAAATGATTTGAATGCATCATTTTGTTGATCTACCAGTGTTGAAATATTCATTAATAGATCGGAATATTTTAAACCATGATGTTCACAATTGGATGGTTTACCAGTATTCAAATCAATTGGTCGTATTAATGAATGTTGTTGCTCAAATGATAAATGTTCTAATTCAGGTACACGGCACCAATGATCTGGTGTTGATAATAGAAACATCCCTTCAAAAAATACATTAAAAAATGATGTCGGTAATAGCAGTAATATTATCAAAAAATTTTGATATCGATTTTCATCACCAATCTGTTGAAGAATATCTTCAAATTTCATTGTTGTGGTTGTAATTCAATTTTTCGAAGAGATTAAACAAACAATCAAACCAAAAATTATTACAAATTTTGTTTCAATAATCAGATCAAATTCTATTAAGATAGGATATTGTGATATGATCAATCAACCGTATCGATCAAATTAACAAACAGCTGCTTGACTTTAAATTGTATTTTGTTTAATTAGAAGATATTTCAAAAGTAAACAACAACTATGATCGATCACTTCCAACTATAACCAACGAAAACCAAAACGCATCAGAGAAAAAAAATTTATGTCGCCGCAAAAAGAAATTTTTATTCAGGATTTCGTTTTGTTTGTTTGGCCACTTTCCCTATCGTTCTTTATCGCTAATCAATCAACCCAAAACCAAAAAAAAATAATTATCATATCACACATTATCTATTGATGAAATTGGGAAAAAAAGAAATTTCATCACCAATCAATCAATTAATCAATCAGGCTGAAAACTTTGATTCAGTTTTGTGAAAAATGAAAATGAAATTATAAAATTTATCAATCACGTCGGAAAAAGAAAAAGTAAATAAAATCACTATATACAAATGAATGCAATGATAAAATCAAACCTATTTGAAATGGATTCATATGATCAATCGATTGAAAGATCGATCGATCAATCAATTAATCAATTTCAATTAACTGTTGCTACTTTTTTTTGAATGAATGAATAAGTGGATAAAAAGAGGAGCCGCCTCATATTTAATTTTAACATTTTAACGATGCAATTGAAGAAATTATCCATTTATTTAGCTTTAATATACGCATCAAAATTTATTAGTTTAATGATAGCATATTCAAATAACTAATAGTCGATATTGTCGTTGACTTTATCAATTTCAAATTATGTGATTTTGGAAATTTCTCCTCAACATCAATTATCATCAAGAATGGCGAAGAAAAGAAAAAATGAATGATAAGATTTGAAATTCAATAGGATAAGAAAAACTCGGGAAAATTTATTTATTAAAACTCTATTAGGATTTGACAATTTTCTGCATTTTCAATTGTTTTCATTGAATTGTCAACAAATCAAATATGAAAAAATTAAAAATAGCTATTGTAGGTGGCGGTATTATTGGTGTGACCACTGGTCTAGCTATACAACAATATCTAGAATCTGATTTGATTGAAATGATAACAATTATTTCGCAACAATGGACACCAAATACAACCGGTGATGTAAGTGCCGGTCTTATTTATCCATATTTAGCTGCACCGGATACACCTAAACAACAAATGGAACGTATACTAATTGATTCGATTAAATTTTTTGATAATTTAATCCAAGATCCAGAAAGTAGTGGCTTTGGTTTATCACGTTTAACATTATTCGAATTATTTAGTAACAATGATAATGTTTGTCTACCGATAGCTAGTGATGAATTGCCTGTAATTCGTACATTAACAACCAATGAAATTCAACGTTTATTTCCATCAATTCAACAACAATATCAACATGGTAATCTTGTTGAAACATTTATTGCTGAACCAAGTTTATTATTACCATATTTGATGGATAAATTTGGTAAACAGGTTTGTAATTGAATTGTAATATATATTTTATTCATAAATTTTATTCAAAATTTTATTCAAACAGAAAGGACAAATGATTACAAAACATGTTGAAAGTCTTGTTTCATTGAAAAATGAATATGATTTAATTATCAATTGTACCGGTGTCGATGCACGTAAACTAAATGATGTTGATGATAGTGATCAATTACGTTCGGCACGTGGACAAGTGATGCGTGTAAAAGCACCGTGGATTCGTCATGGTATAATAGCAGATCAATGGTATATTCTACCACAGATCGATTCGGTTGTATTGGGTGGCACAAAACAACTAGACAATTATAATCTTGAACCGGATCCAAAAATAGCTGAGGAAATTTGGCAGAATTGCTGTCAAATAATGCCAACATTAAAACTGGCTAAAAAAATTGATGATTATGTTGGTCTGCGACCTTTTCGACGTACATTACGTATTGAAATGGATAATAATGATGATCATATTATACATAATTATGGACATGGTGGTTCAGGTGTGACATTATGTTGGGGTTCAGCAATACAAGTCATCAATTTGATTAAAAGCAAATTTCTTTAATGAATTCTTAATTGATTAATGTTTGGATCAATTATAAATCTAAATAAAATGTGGAAAGTTGAAAAATATCAATCATCATCAAAGGATATCATGATCAAATGTTTTCGTTACAGGGCTAACAAATCATAAATAAAAATAAAGTAATCATTTTTTGTTTAAGTTCAATTTGAAGAAGCAAAAAAAGTTGATGGAAATTTCTTTCTTTTTTTGTTGTTAATAGGCAAAATTGATGAGTGGACTGAATGTGTGTGTGTTGGATTGGAAAATGTGTGTGTATAATAAGTATATAGTATATTTGCAGATGACTAGTATTGTGCTTGATTGAATGATCATTGAGGATGATGATGATGTAATGATGATGATGGTTTATGATCAATCTTATAATTCAAATTGGATGAGGAATTTGGTGATGAAGATAATGATGTTGTTGCTGAATGATGTTTAATATGATTACCATCATTATTGTCACTATTAGTATCATCACTAATCAATGTTGTTGTTGGATTCATCAAATGACTAGATTTGTTAACGATTGTTTGTTGCTGTTGTTGATTAGGACGATGATCATCGATTGATAATACAGATAATTTTGGACTGTGAATAGATGTTGTTTGTGTTGTTGTTGTTGATGAATCAATATCAACACAAACAATTGATTTTGATGTTGCAGTAGTATTAGTAGAATTTGTTGTGGTTGTTTTGTTATTTGAAACAACAATATTGACCAATGTACCAATATTATCTACAGAACTGATTGATGAATGAGAGCTATTATCATCATCATCATTATCGTCATCATCTGAATCATCATCATCATCGTCATCATCATGATTGGCATCGTGACTAACATGATCATAAGCATCAAAATCTGAAACATGTGTGATTGGTCCAATAATATGTCTTGTTGTTTGATCATTGTCAATAGCATCGTCATTATGATTATGATTGGTTGATGAACAAATAATATTACCAGTTATAGTTTGACTGTATATATTTGATATACGATCACAGAATTCATCATATGTTGAACCATTTAGATAACAAATCAATATGACTGTCATATTATCGCAGCCAATACCGCAACCCATTTGACAATCAGGTGCCAAACATCTAGTTATCAATTCCTCACAAATAGCAATCGGCTCGCGACGATAAAATATACGACGACGAATGAATTCAATGACTTCTTCATTAGTCATTACATCCCAAACACCATCACAAGCCATTATTGTAAATTCGAAATCCGATGTTAATGGCCTGGTTTGAACATCTGGATAAGCAATAACAATCTGTTCAGTTGCTGAACGTTTTTCATTACGTTTGAATACAAAATCACCGAATGCACGTGATAATGCTAGATTACCATTTACACGATTGAATTGTACCCAACCACCAGCCGATATAATACGATTCATTTCATCTTCACATGTTGGTTTATGATCTATGGATAATGCATCTACTTTACCATTAAATGATGCTACAGCTCTTGAATCGCCAATATTTGCCTAAACAATTCGAAAAATCAAAATCAAATTCTTTTCAACAACAACAAAACACTTACGCAATAGATTTGATGATCTTTAATAAGGATCACAACAGCAGTGGAACCGGCCAATTCATCACGCATTTTTTCATTATTGAACATCATTTCATCGAATTCAATGAATGTATTTTTCAATGCCTCTTCAATCTGACCTTCACGATATAAACGATGTGAACAAAGACCTTGATGTAGATTTTCACTTGCATAATTTGCAACTTTAGCACCACCATGACCATCGAATATAGCAAAAAATGATGCTTCTGGATCATCGGGCATGGATAATAATATTGTATGTGCATCTTCCATACTGATACGCCATCCTTGTATCGATGATGATGCTACAATAAATTTATCATTCTTTTCGGTTGAGGATTCTTTTTCAGTAACCGGTTCAGAAAAAGCTTGACCCATTCTCACCGGTTATTATTACAATTATATTCAAAATCAATTCGTATTTGCTGAGTGAAAAAAAATGAAAAAAAATTATTTATTTGTTTTTCGTTTGACTGGATTTTTTATTCAATGAAATGTCCATTAAATCAATTGAGTAATAAATGAGAATATTCGGATAAAAGATTATGATTTTTAATGAGAACAACCAAAAGAACAAGCAGAGAAAAACAGAATGATGATGATTTTGTAGATAGGAAATATATTTTGGTTGGTTCTTTCTGATTAAATGAACTTTTGCTTGTAACTACAACCACCTATATATATAATGATGATACAATTATACAGACAGCAACTATAAGATGATTCTATTTTTTTCTCATTATTCAATAGATTCTATTATATTCTGATTCAACAACAATAAATTGATTACATCCGGAATTTTCATTTTTTTTGTCATTTATATTAATATATTGGTGTACATGCGTTGGTAGTATTATTATTTGGTGATTTAATGATGATATTAGTCATTTGGGTGAGATGAAAATAAATATAAGTTAGAAAAAGCGGTTTGAAACATGAAATTAATAAGCAATTTCTGTTTTCGCATTGATAACTGATCGGGAAAAACTGACCGTTTGATTATTTGATTAATTTTTTTAGATTACAAAACAAAACTTACCCCACAAAAGAATTTTTTGTTGTTATAATTGTTGTCACTTTTATTTTAAAAAATAAAACAAATTTAGTTGATTGAATCAATAACAACTATGTTGATGGTGATGAGCCGATAAGCGGGGGTGTATTTGAGAAATGGAGAGAGAAAACAAAAATGAGCAGCTGAATGGGCGACTGTTGAAACAACGAAATAAACATGATCAAATTATTTTTTGGGCGCCCAACAATCACGGTCCAAAGCCAAATCCATTGGATGCGCATGTCTTGTCCATCTTCATCTTTATATCATCATCACCCGAAATCATTGATCAAACGCAGTAAAATTTCATTATATTAAACATCTCAAAGAAAAAATTCTTGAACTTTTTTAAGGGAAAAAATCAAAATTTTCGTCTTGTTTTACCCACTTTCACTTTAACTCTCCAATATAATATTTGGTTTCTAAAACCAGAAAAAAATTGATTCTATTTTGACAATGAATGGATGGAAATAGTTGCAAGAATTTGTTTTTGCTTTGGTTTGATTTACGATCAATGGATGGCGATAGAATCAATAGATTTTTTTCAAACAAAAAAAAACGAAACGGGAAATATAGAAGAATCTTTATTTTAAAAAAATGATCGGATTTCCGTGAAAATAGGTAAGCCACATAAATATCGGGTATGTGCGTGTGTGGATACCAATGAAATGACCATGGCTACTACATTGGTTACACCAACCAAAATTGATATATACTATAGTGGTAATTAATTAGGTTAATTGTATTATGGTTGGTTATATTAGTTTGATTAATAATTTTTTTCTGGTTCTGTTTTCATTTTAATTGCTATTTTTACCTTGGATTTTTTTTTTGTCTCGGTAAGCAGTTTAGTGTCATTCTTTTTTTTCGAGTGTTACAATGGGTGGTGGTGGCAATGTCAATGAAAAAAATGATAATTTCGAATTGAAAAACCAAAGGGGAATTTGTTTGTTTGTTACATAAGTGTCAATGTCAATTGATAGTATAACACCAATTCAATATTGATCGATATTCATGGTGATCATATCCATATTGACGATTTCTCTGTAGGATGATCAACCTTGTGATAGAATATTCATTTTGACCACTCCTCCAAGAATTGCATACACAATCGAAAACAAAATTATGTTTAATATAATTAGTGGATGAATAACAATAGCCACCACCACAATCAACCCGTACAATTACATTATCAAAAATATAAATAAAAAAATGTCCATGGAATGACCATTAAAAAACATACCCAATTGAAGAATTTGAATTCAAAATGAAAACAAAAAAATGATAATCACAATTGGTCTGATTTATGAGAAGTGTTGTTGTTTATTTCAGAATGAAATTAAAACCTTGAATTTGGTTTGATGTAAATTATGATTTAAAGATAAAAACATGGATAAGCCAAAACCAAAACAGAATAAACGAATAATGAATAATAATCATTATGAACGTGGTATGTATCATAATAATAATAATAATCAAAAGGCGGGAAATTCTGTAACCCGAATTAATAATGATAATCAAATCAAACATTATAATCATTTGAAACAACAAAATTATAAAAAACCAAATAATAATGATCAAACAATTTCACCAAACAAGAAAAATATTCAAACAAAACAGCAGTTGCAAAATAAACGACAATCAAATGTTAATCGTAACCAAACAACCACAAAGAAAACCGAAACAAAGATAAATCATGTCCATCATCCAGTGAAATTGGCTGCTTCGGTTAATCATCCGTTATATAATCATGGTGATAATTCCATACAACCAAAAACGTCAACAAAATCAAAAAATGTTATCATCAATCTTGAATCATCAAATTGTGTACAAAAGCAAAAATCATTAAATAAAAAACATGATTACAAAACTGTATTGAATCATATGAAACAACATTTAAATCGAAATCAACAATCAATATTGGCTATTTATGATCGATTCAAACGATTGATTCCAAATCGACAATCAAATCAAATTCATGATGAACAACCGTCGAATAATCGAATCGATAAACAATTGTCAACAACAGTATGGACAAATTTTAAGAGAATTTTTACATTTTCAAGAAAAACCAACAAAACAAAGGAAAAAATCAATGAAAAAAATTATCGAAATTCAATTTCACAACGGTTACGTTCATATAGTTCAATATTATGGCAAAGAATTCTAACATTTCGATTACGTATGTATATTTGTAATTTATTCGATTCGACAATGATTAACCAAGAAAATAATCACCGACAATCAACAAATCCATGCCAAACATCATTATTGACAACAATTTTCCAAACAATTCGTCGCCGAACAATCAATCTATTTCGACAATATTGGCCATTACTTGATAATAAAATGAAAATCAAAAAAACCAACAACAATAATAATCAACAATCCAATTCTGTACAGCCAATGAAAACAAAATCAATCATCAAACGACCAACAATTGAATCGAATCGTATACAGCCAACTACATCCCCAACATTAATTGATTCAAAACAAGCGAAAAAATTATCACCGCCATCATCAATATTGATGATTAATAATGATGAGAATTTCAATCAAGCACCATTAGATACGAATCAAATGTTAATAAAATCTGATAGTTATGCAATATTATGTGATATAAATTGTCATAATTGGATTATAGCATTAATAAATTGGTCGATAATATATCCACGTTTCATATTACCGACAAATCAATATTTTCAATTTGCCAGTGTGCATGATGTTAGTAATCTAGGCAATTATTTCGATAATGATAATCAATTTTGTTTACGTTTATGTTGTTGTTGTGGTGGTTTATGTTCATATCATCATCATCAACAACAACAATATCGAAAACAACAAAATCGTCAACAAAAACAGCAACAACAACAACAACAATCATCATCGACTAAAAATTATCATCATCAACAACAATTATCGATGACAACAATACAAATAAATCAACGGCAAAATTTTCAATCAATCAATAATGATAATAATAATAATGATGCTAATCAACAGCCATTATCAGTGATCAATTCACCAATCAATGAAAATCCTGAAATAATGATGATTACAACTAAAACACCATCAATAAAATCTTTGAATTTGGATTCAGATTCCAAACAACAACGGAGAACATTGAATGATGAATTGCTCAACAAAAATCATAAATGTGCTAATAATGATGATTGTCAAACAGAAATAACACCCGATTTTAGCGATGTTGCTTATTATCCATCAATATTGAACACTAATCAAACTGATCATAATGAAAATATCAATAGAAAGTCAGAAATGATCAATAACCAGATGGATGATCAGAAAATATATAGCCAAAATAAACAATTGCCAAATAAACAAATTCCATTCAATAAAGATGATAATGATCATCGATCCACATCTAGTCAATCAATATTATCAGCGAATTCAATTTGCTGTCATGTTCAACATTGGAAATTCTATCTGATCATAACATTATTTATTTTCATTTCATTACGTTATCTCATTCATCTAGGTAAGTCAATATAATCATGGTTTTGTTTCGAAAAAAATAAAAATTCTTTAAAAAATAGTGATAATCATATTTGGAAATGATAATCAGGAAAAAAATATGATTCATTTTGATTATGGTTATTGTCCATTGATAGTGGCCATGTTAGAATCATTGACAACAATGTTAACGATAATGATTGTCTATTGCCGTCGTACACCAATCGAAGAGCTAATTATAATCAAATCATCATTCTTTCGACCATTATGTCCATGGCAACGTACATATTTTATACGAATGATTACCATTTTATATCTAATTCTAAGTATGATATTTTTTATATTAACATTTTGTTCATGGTTTCCACAAATCACCGGTATCGATTCAGAATGGCATCACTTTCGCCGATCTGATTCAAATATATTTACCAAATATATCTGGCAACAACAACAGCCAATTACAGCAACAACAACAACAATGTCAATTTCAATGTCAAGGCCACCATCAACATTGGATAATAATAATAATAATCAACATTCAACAACAATCCACAATCAACGTTCGAAACGTAATTCTTCGGAATTTCAAACTATTTCCACAATCAATATTGATAATATAACAACATTTCTTGATGATAATATTGATAATACTGATGATGATGATGATGATGATGATTCTGTTGACTATAATTCCAATGTGATGATTGAAAATAATTTAACCAACACATCATCATTGATCAATAAAACAACCACACAACGATTACCAAGATATTCATCATTACCGGTTAACATGTTCACAACAACTCCAATAACAACTCCATCTAGTATTGATCATTCAACCAAAAGTATTTCTTCATCCAATCAGAAAAATAAATGGTGGCAAATAATAGAAATATGGCATCTATTTTTTTATTTTGATTTTATCTCGAATATTCTATGTAAATATAGTTTATTATTAATGAAAACATTACATCTAAGCATCACAATATTGATTATATTGAAATGTTGGCAATTATATAATGAAATACGACGACTTAAATATTATTTCAAAAATAATAATATTGATCATTCTCAACGACGCCAAACAAATGATACAACACTAACAACAACAACAACAACAAGTTCATCATTGGATATTATTAAATCGAACGAATCGGTTATCATAATCGATAATCATAATTCTAAATTTGGACAACGTAGTCGTCGCCGTCGCCATCATCAACAACAGCAACAATCCGAAATGGAACGATTAACAATATTGACAAGAATTTTATGTAAAAATATCCGTTACTATCATAATGTATTTGGTCATTTATTATTGATTTGGTTATTATTAACAATTTTTACATTAATAGCTATATGGGAATTTTATAAATGTTCAGATCAACAGAATCGTTTACAAAAATCAATAATTAATAATGAATCTAATCAACAATTTCATGATTGGCTTATACCTTATTCAATGTTAATCTATCATAGTATTGATCTAGCTATAATGTTTATATTTTATTTAATCATCAGAATTTTACGCTATCAATGTTTATGGTTGATCAATTGAGATAAATCTATAGATGAAAACAGTGATGATAATAAATTATTTTTGAAAATTATTCTTTTTAACATTTTCAATATGGACGCCATAATTTCTCTATGCGTTCAATTTTTGTATCAGCTGCTGTTGTTTTTTTCTTCACCGATGATCGATAATTGATTTCCTTTTGATCATTATCATCCTCATCCTCATTGCCATTAATTGATTTATCTGAATTATCATTGCTGGTATTGATTTTTTCATCATCATCGTCGTCATGATCATTTTGTGTTGTGACTGGTTTTAAATGTTTCGATTGATTATCGATAATATTCAGATTTTCAAATTGTTGTCGTTGTCGTCGTGGTGGCTGTTGTTTGTCATTGTCATCAGTATTCATAATCGATTGATTATCATTAAAATATCGATCATCATCGTTATCACCATCGATCGATGATGATAATGGTGGTGATGATGACGAGGGTGAAAACGAAGACGACATCTCATTAATTGGCATAATATTTTTCATTGAAAAATTATCATTCATTATCGATGATGATGTTGTGGAAGAAGATCCTATTTTGTTATGGATGAGAAAGAAAGAAAAAGAATTATTTGTAAAAAGAATTGAAGCATAAAATGATCCTGATATCATCATCATTGGAGGTCTTTCAATTCATAAACCATATCCTTTTGTTTGTAAAATGTCATTTATTGTATTTGTATATAATTATTGCTTGAAAACTGAAAATTATCTTATCTGATTTATTATGCATGCATGCATATAAAAAGTCTTCTCCCATATCTTATTACCGGTTGGCCGGAATGAAAACTGAATGAATTTTGAAAATGTTTTCAAACCACATCAAGAGAATGTTATATAATAATGTAGGCGTATTTCATATTATACTTACCGGGTGTCATTATAAGTGATTTATCATGCATAATTATTTTGTCAGTATGGCTGTTATTATTATTGCTAAGCCTTTTAACACTGGTTATATTTTGATTATCATCATCATCATCATTGCTATTATTGGGTAATATTGCACAATTATTATTATTGATTGATGATCGATTAGCATTTGTCGATACGGTTGATGATGATGATGCATGCTGTACTAATGCAACGGCTGCCATTGCCTGTTTAATATTATTCCATTGATGTTGTTGTTGAATTGGTGATAATGTTGAATTTCCATTTTCCATCATTATTGGCCTTTGTTGTTGTAAAAGTTTTGCATAAGAATTTTGCAAAGCCATTTGTTTGGCTGCTAAACGCCATTCTTGTTGTGCAGCTGCAACTGCGGCCGCATAAGATCCAGGTATTATCTGTTGTTCGGAATTTGTACCAATTAAAGTTGATGATGTCAGTGTTGTTGTTGGAGAACCTTTTGGAGAATTTGCCATAACTGATGATGGTATTGGTGTTGTTAACATTCCACCTGTAATAACATTTGATGGTGATATTTGTGCTGAAATCGATTGATTATGATGATGATGACCAGTAGCTGCCGCAGCAGCAGCAGCTGCTGCTGCTGCTGCATTACCGAAAATGGCATGTGCTAATGCACGAAACGGTGGTGGTACTATTGCGACTGGATGCGACGCGATTGGATGATGTGGATGATGATGATGACCAGAAGCGGCAGCAGCAGCCGCTGCAGCTGCATTCAAAAAATTAACATGTGGACCTGTTGCATTTGTTGGATTGGTTGGAATAATCGCATTAGTTGAAGTGATCGGTGGTGCTGTACCACTGGTCAATGGTGGTAAAGGATGATGATGATTTGTCCGTACAGATGATGTATGATGATGATGATGATGAGCACCGGGATATGGCCAACAATGATTCAATAGACCTTTTTCGTTAATTGGAGAAAAAACAAAATAAAAAACGATCATGTAGGTAGTAATTAAAAACGAAAAAGCATACAGACACCAAAACTTGAAGCAAAACAAGATTATTATCATCATAAAATGAATTGTTCGGTTTTTTTGATAATCAATAAATCAAGTTTATAATGAATGAAAATCGGGTGCAAGTTAAAAAATTCCAAAAAACAATCTCAAATCAGGTAAAAATTAATGATGAAAATTTTTTTGAATAAATTTATTTTTCAAAAATATGAAAAAATACGAAAAAAATTCGGTTGTTCAGTTCAGTTCACCACACCTAATCTATAGCGAAAAAAATTGATGATGTTAAGTTGATATCACACATATAACAAGATAAGTGATCATCATCTTTAAGTTTAACTTCATCAATATAAGTAGGTTTTTAACCTTTTTTTTCGCATAATTTTTTTTGCATATTTTCCTAGACTAATTTATCTTTTTTTTCGTTAAAGATTTTAATATCGATAATAATAATAATCTTTGTTGTTGTTGTAACCTATAATTAGTATCAGTGATCAGTTGTTTCAAACAAAAAATTTGTTGTTGTTCTATATAGAAAACAATAACAACAACAAGGGTCATCCAGATATTTTGTCTTATTTTTTTTCTTCTGGGTGATAATTAATTATTGTTATTCAGTTTGACATGATTTTGCATTAATTGATGATGATGATTATCATTTTTAGTAAAATTTTACCCAAGTAAAAATTTTTCTTAAAATTTCTTAAAATCAGCCACCCAAAACGAATGAAATAGAATGTATGTGTGTGTGTGTGATGGTTAATTTTGCCGGTTTATATATTTCTACCGAGAAAAAAAAATTCTTGTTATCATCATCATGGTAATCATCATTAGATACTTGGTAACTTATAAACAAAAATTATGTCCTGTTTTTTCTGTATGGAATAATGATGATGATATGGTTTATATATCGGTCGATTGGTCAAGCGAAACAATACCACCAATCCGATAGATAGAATACTATCCGGTGGATTTGGTTAAGGTTGGTCTTGGATTTCGTCAATCATTTCCTATTTTATCAAAGAAAATTACAACATCAACCGAAACAAAAACAAACACACTCACTAACTAATGGCACCTGATAACATGATTGATGACCATGTTTACCTGTGTAAGCAAACAAACACACACACTTGTTCGATTCACACTTGTTGACCCAATTGGTCATTCAAAAGTCAAGTTGATCAAACCAAAAAAGATGAATTGAATTGAAATGTGATTTGTGATTGTAAAACACGATTTTTGTTTTGGTGATCAAATTACTTGGAAAATATTTTGGTAGATTCAAAAATTATGAAGCTAAAACTGAAAAAACGAATTTAAATTTATTCAATCACGAATTATGGTCATCATTGAACAGAAAAAGAGATGGAAAATAAAAAAAACCGGTAGCTATTTTTGATTTATGATTGATTGCTATTCATTTAGACCAAATGAAAAAATGATCAAGTATATCCTGGTCAATAACCAAGAACAACAACGACGATAAAATCGATTGATCCGTATCAATTGATGCGTGCGTGTGTGCAACACGATCAATCAAATGATTGATGTTTCGTGACTTTAAATATGATGATCTCAAGGTGCAAGATAGCTTGAATATTGTAATTACCTATGATATGGTAGTTTGTTTTTCTGTTTTTTACCAACAATACAAAAAAAAATTGACCTTATCATATTAATGATGGTATGATCAGAGAGATAATTTGTTCATGAACATCATTAAATTATTATTTTATCAAGATAATCTAATAATAGTAGTTCTATTTAAAGTTTTTTTTGATTAAATTATTGAATCGAGCAATAATGATTTTTTTCTTGGAAATTTTTTTGTTGAAAAAATAACTTACTCGTTTTACTTCTTGGTTCACGTGGACCATCAACAGTAACTTTGATTGCTTTCATATAGGTAGCAATTTGTGGTGGATTTGTAGCCAATGTTATTGTTAATGAAAAACTTTTTCCTAAAAAATTTCATACACACGTGCATACATATGTGGATAATAAAAAGAGAAAAAAGGACAAACAAACAATAAAGATTATTATTCAAAAAAGAGATATCAAAATGATAATGGTAATGATGATGTAATAAAATTTGAAAACAATTTTCAATGCAAATATCTCTATCTGTATTTGTCGGCGGCAAAAATAAAGAAAAAAAGATGAGAATGGATAGTGAGAGAAAAAAAGGTCACAAAAGTTGTTGTTGCTGAGTTCATTTATAACAAGCAAGATAAACAAGGCAAAAATAATGATACAAAAACAAAATCATGTTGCCGGTGCATCAACAATAGATCGGAATCAGTTTGTTTTATGTTAGTGGGAGGAAAGAAAGGGAAAAAGAAAATTAACTGAAAAAGGGGGAAGGTTCTCGCTTGCCTCCATCCATATGTGATGAGATTTTTTGTTTTGCTTTTTGATGAGTTTTTCGGTGTAATAAAATATATATTTTATTATTGCGACCAAGAGAAAAAGATACACATAGAAAGATGCCGCCGATAAAGTTTTTTTGTTTTGTTTTATCAAAAAACAGAAAAACAAACGAAAATGATACTAAAAAACAAAAAAGAAAACAACCCAGAGGAAAACACAGTAGAAAAAACAATTCACATCCGAAATTTTGGATATTTTTTTTTGTTTTAATGAATGTTATCCAAATCAAAACAATGATGGTGATTTTTGCAACAAAAAAAATTGAAAGTTGTTGTTTGGCAAAACAGGAAATTTTTTTGTTGAGATTCAACAATAGCCAAAATGGATTTGCAAATGCGAGGAATTTTTTTTATTCATTGTTGATGTTGTTGTTGATTTTGATGATCAACGATTGTGTGAAATTTTTGTTGTTGTTGTTATTATGATTTGCCTTATCAATGTAAATAAAGGATGTTTCAGATCATAATAACAATGGAAATCATTGAGAAAAATGATCATGTTGTTTTTGAGGATAATAATGTTTATGGTTGTGCTAAAATAGAGGTAGCAAAACAAAAAAGTAATGTAATATATTTACCTCGTCCAGAACGACCAACAAAACGTAAATCATTAAATTTCGCTACTTGATTTTTAATGATAGCCGATGAATTTCTTAATTCACCGGACCAATTCTCATCATTACCAGCACGAACAGTAACTAATGTACCGTCATTAACTTCACATAGTGCAATTACTTTGAATGATATTGGCAATGTTTTATTGGATCGCCAATGTATTGGTAATGGTGTACAGATTATTGCCGGTGAACCAGTACGACATAATTCACCCGGATGTTCATTCATAACTTCATTTAATAAACGCTCGCCGGGAAAAATAAATTCACCATTTATATTTCCATCTTTACTATTACCATTATTATTTTTGTTGTTCTTATTGACATTGCAACTATTTTTGCTCATTATTGGTTTTTTTTAAAGAATATTTTTCACCAAAAAACACTGTTCAAAAAAAACAAAAAACCAAATGCACAACACTTTGGATGAAAATGGAAATAATCATTTGACGAAATATTCGTTAACACTTGTTCATCATCACATCATGTTCATCGTCATCGATACTGATACTGATCATCATAATCATCATTTTCACATCCCAATCCCAACAACAACAACGAATGAATGAATGAAAAGAAAAATAGCAAAATTATAGGCGGATCTTAGTTTTGGCTAAATTTATTGTTTTTTTTATATGACGCCGCCAAATAAATAAAAAAAACATAGTAGTAGTAAAAACATTCAACAAGTGAAGAATTTGTTGTTTCGCCCCTCAACATACATGCATAGAACACATAAGACGGTCATTCCTCTTTATTATTATTTCCTTATCTCTCTCTCACTTGCTCTTTCTCTTTATTATGTCTTGACGAGGTTTCTTAACATTTTTTTATGTTCAAAAAACATCTTGAATGAATAGAAAAAACTAATTTTTACTGTTTTGTTTTTGTTGTCTGTTTTATTGCGATGGGAAGGTTCAAACAACAATTTTCCTCCATCAAACATCGTCGCCCTGCATAGTATGTATTTATTAGCTATAAAAAATAGCGGGCGTCATTTATATCGGTATTTAGCTCCTCCTCCTTCTTGTATTTCACACTCTTTTTTTCTCATATTTCCATCCCCACCACCACCTTGAACACATTGAAAAATCGTAAACATTTTATTTTATTTTCCTAATTCAAATTAAATTTTTTTTTAATTTTACATCAACATAATTATAAATTTTATTTAAAAAAGATAAAAAACAGCAATTATTGTATAATCCATTTAATCATCAAGATCACCGAATGGATTCAATGATAATGATACAGATGATGATGATGATGGCATTTGTGATGATAGTTTTTCACTATTTTGTTGTTGTTGAACAAAAAAATACTCAATTTCTAATTCTTTAAGATTAGATTCTAATAGACGCATCTCTTCATAGCGATTATCTTTCCGTGCCTGTTCAATATATGATTGTATAATAGCCATTTGTTGTAGAATTGGATCATCAAATTGTTTATTATTATCACCATTCCTATTGACCCCTTTTTCATTGATTAAATTTATCTGTTGCGGACAGAATCCATCATTACCGACAATAGTTTTTTCAATAATTTTTTCTTGTTGTTTTTTATATTGTTCCTGTTCGTATAATGCCATCTGTTTTTCGTATTGAATTCTTCGTTCAATCATTTCATTATGTGATTGTTTTAATTGTTCATAATGTTCCGAATCGGGTAATTCATTTAATGATAATAAATTTTCACGTAAATAATGTATAGTTGAACGACGAATTAATGTTTGTATTGATTTTTGTCGTTGTTGTTGAGATAATGTATCTGTCGATTCATCATATGTTTCAATCTTACGGCTGGATTTTTATTTTTTTGGAAAATAGCAAAACAAACTAATAGAATGATGACATCTATCGGTGTAAAGAAAAAACCTACCTTATAAAATCAATTTCTTCGCCTAATTTTGTTAGTTTATTTTTAACATCGATTGCATCCTGTAGCTGATATGTTGTTTCACCTAAGCTGAAATTTTCATTAACAAAAAAATGATAAAAACCAAATCAAATTGAAATTATAATCAAAAAACTTACTTAAGAGAATCAGCCATACGATCATAGATTGATAATAATTGATCAAGTTGTTGAATCGATTCTCTAAGTTTTGTATAAATTTCAATTAATGGACATTGATAATGTGAACGTTGAAATTTATCACGCCGTAAAATAAGTAGACGATAACAATCGTTACAAATACGAATCGATTCTATTGAATTTTCCAAATCTAAATTATTATCATCATCATCATAATTGATCGATTTAGCCAATATTGTACGTAATTTTAGCATCGATATTGATGGTGATGTATTGTTATTAGGATGATGATGATGATCATTGGCTGATGATGAACCATTAAAACCAAATGGTTTCAATAATTCATCAGCAAATTTGAATGTAATAAATTTTGAACATTTTGAACACATGACTGCACCACATAGACGACAATGATGACGTTTTTTTAAAATAATATTAAATTTACAAGCACATGATGGACAAAGTGGAACCGAACGTTCATCTAACCATTCAACAATAGATTGTTCATGACGACGACGATTATCAATATCCATTGTTGATGATAATAATAATGTTGAATATCCTTGCATTAATCGATCCAATCGTATGAGTAATTTGTTTGTTTCAAATACATAACGTTCTATTTGTTTATCACGTATATTATGATAATCATTCCAATGTGAACGTATCATACCTAAGGACATTGAATATTTCCATGAATCGATTGGCGACGTGATTCTATAATCATTTATTTCCGAAGATATTTTACTATTATCTTGTTGTACGGTTGTTGTTGTTGATAATTTATTTGTTTGAATGATAATTTTTCGTACAAAATCTTTTATCTGATCTTTTGAAAGATTTTTTTTGCCAATCGAATTTTTGCTAGAATTTGATTGTTGTTGTTGTTGATATTGACGATGATCATTATCGAAATGTGACATTAATTCTGTAATAGTACGATATTCTTCCATACAATCAGGACAAAGAAGGCCTTCAGCTTGTAATGAACCATTACCTATTAATTGATATTGTTCATTTGATATTTCGGGTGTTTCAATTGCAATTGATTCATCGAACGGATTCGTAGATTCATCAAAAGGATTCGTATTCTATTAACAAATTAAATTTATTAGTTTTTTTCGATCAAAAGAAAAAAGTTTACAATTCAGAAACAAAAACCTTTTCGGATTCATCAACATCATTCGCATCAAATGGATCCAATGTTGAATCATAATCATTCTCATCATCGAATGGATTCATCATCAATCGTAATATATTGAAGAAGGAAGATTCCAAGGCAATTTTTCTCTTTGTATTGATTCCTTTATTTTAACATTATTATGATAATCGATTTAATTACACCCACATCTGATTAAAAATGCTCATCATTTGAATCATTTTTGTTTTTGTTTTGATTTTTTTGACAACAATCCAAAAGTGCTGCCATCCATTATCGATTATCAGTAAACTTTAACAAAATTTGAATTTAAAATTTTGTCTTTTGTTGCGATTGATTTTTTAAAATATAAAATCACATTATTATTATTAATATTATTTCATTAAGTAAGTAATTAATTATTTAATAAATTGCAATTTAAAACTTGGAGAGAAAAAATAATAATAATTATAATTATAATTAAAGGAAAACTGATCAAAGAAAGAGAAAAGGAAAACAACGACCATCAAAGAATGGATGATGATTATGATGATTTTTGTGGATGATGATGATGATGATGGCAAATGTGATTATCAATCAACAACAGCAAAAGCGAAAGAAAAACATTCAAAAACAAAGTTTGATTTGGTTTGGTTGGGTGTATGATATGAACAAAATGTTTATTTGATTATTATTCAATCTGGGTGTGTGTATCAGGGGCGGGATTCAGTGTATATAATTATGTATATGATGATCATGATTAAAGGGGTTTATTGAATGAATTCATTTGTAATTTTTGTTTTTTGTAATTAAAATCTGTGTTTAGTAAAGAGCGAGAGAGAGAATCGAGGTCTGTGTGAATGAACCAAAAAACAACAATTCTGATCAGATAAACAACACAGTGTAATAAACAACACACAAACAAACGATTTGTACTTAAATCAGGTGACATAATTTGTTCTTGCTTAAACAAGAGCAGAGAAAATATTGCTTATTGTACCTTTTTAAAGTGAATATTTTGAAATTTAAATTATTTGTTTATATCTTCTAATTCAATTGAAATCAGGTGTATCATGATGAAAATGTGCATGAAAATTATATAATGCAATAATAAATATATGTGTGGGGCATATAAGGGACAAATTAAAAAGAATCAATCAATCAATCGATAATTAATAAATAATACTTTGTATACAAAAAAATGAATGTATTAAATGTAATGATTTGTTTCAACTTGTTTTGTTAAAATGTATCTATAATATTTGAATAAATTATTTAATTATTTTGATGATGATGATGATGATCTATATAACACGACATTATAAATGATGATGATTATAGCAATGAACAAACAAACAAACATCATTCAATTCCAACAAACACACACACTTTGTGAGAAAAAAATATAAATGAAATACATTCAGGTAAAGGTAATGAATGAAATAAGAATTGTTTTTCGTTTGTTTTTTAGTGTAATTTTCAATTTGAATGGCAGCCATAATAATTTTGTTTCGTTTTGTCTTTTGGTAATTTAGAAAAAATTGGAAAAGAAACTTGCAGCACCGGATGCTGCTTGTTGTGCCGCCTAAATTTTTCAAAAAAAATAAAGAAAAATTTTAATTTTAAAAATTTGATTTTTGTAAAAATCACTTACACTTGGCTGGGTTGGTTTTGCTTGTTGCTGTTGTTGTTGTTGTTGTTGTGATGGTAATCTTGGAGCTGGTCCACGTGGTGGTGCTTGACTTCCACCTTGTTGCTGTTGCTGCATAGGCCTTGGACCTTGTTGTTGTTGTTGCATAGGTCTTGGACCTTGCTGCTGTTGTTGCATAGGTCTTGGACCTTGTTGCTGTTGTTGTCCAGGCATTTTTGTTGGTTGCTGTGATGCTGGTGGACCAGATTGTTTAACACTTTGTGATTGCGGATGTGCCTGTTGTTGTTGTTGAGAAGATGGTTTAGCTTGTTGTTTAGCTGCTTGTTGCTGTTGTGGTGGCGGTGTTTGTTGTTGCTGACTAGCAGGATGTGATGGTGGGCCTTGTGTTGATTGTTTGGATGAAGATGCGGCAACGGATGATGCTTGTTGCTGTGCAGTTGTTGCTGCTGCTGTCGCTAATTTCAATTGACTATTTGAAAAAAGTAATCCAAGTTCAGAATTAATGAAAAGAAAGAAAAAAACTTACTGTTGTAAATCCTGTATCTGTTTGTTTAAAGCAAATTTTTCCTCTTCCATTGTTGACATTATTTTCAAAATTCTTTCCAATTCTGTTTGAATAATTTTTGCTTCTTCACGACTTTTCCTCAATTCTTGTTCCAATTTTTGTTTTTCTTTTTCCAAATCTGTACAACGTTTTTTCAGTTTATCAATTTCCGCTTGTTGTTGCTGAATTTGTTTGGTTTTTGCTTCAATTTCAGCCGCTGTAGCCGATGTTGCCGTAGCCGTAGCCGTAGCACCTGAACCTTGTTGTGCTTGCTTGATTGCCTGTTGTAATTGTATTTCTAATTGATCCACATCAGTTTGTCGTTTTTTCAATATTTGTTCACGTTCAGCTAGAATTTTTTGCTGTTCATCTAATTGTTTCTGTACAGCATCCAAATCTGTTTGCGATTGTGTTATATTCTGTTGTTGTTGTTGTTGTTGCTGCTGCAATTTGGATTTCATTTGATTTGCATCTTGTTTCAGTACTTGTATCTCTTTCTACAAACCAAAACAAGAAAAAATTAATTTTCAAAAAATATTGAAAATAATGTTAACATACCTCACGTTGACTAAGTTCGTTCACCAATTTTTCCAATTGATTTTGAAATCTTTCACGCTCAACTTCGAAACCTTTTTTCTCATTCTGTGTTCGTTCCAATTGTTTACGTAATTGATCGGCTTCTTGTGTCCATTTTTTATTCTCTGAACGTTGTCGTTCTAATTCGGCACGTAATCGATTGACTTCATCAGTTAATTTTTGCTGTTGCTGTTGTGCATTGACACCTTGTTGTTTTTGTAATTGTTGTATTTGATTTTTTAATTCTTCATTCAATTTTTGTATTGCTTCAAGCTGTTGTTGATTCTGTTGTTGATTCGTTGCCGGTGATGCTGGTTGTTGTTTTTCTTGTTTTTCTTGACCTTGTTTTTCTTGCTGTTGTTGTTGTTGTTGTTGTTGTTGCTGCTGTTGTTTAGATTCCTGTAATTGTTCCTGTAATTTATGTATTGCTTGTAATGATTTTTCCAATTTTTGTTTCAATTCTTTATTCTCAATTTCGCATTGTTTCAATTGTTTTTCCAGTTTTATCACTTCGGCTTGTAGACGCTGTATCATTTGTTCTTGTTGGGCCATTTTTTCATTTGTTTGCTGTTGTTGTTGTTGTTGTTGCGATGGTGGTTGTATCATACCTGTTCCGGTTTGTTGTTGTTGTTTAGTTTGTGATGCTTGTTGCATCATTATAGCAGCCGATTGTTCTTGCTGTGATTTAACTACCTTTTCATAAACAGCCGATAATTCATCCAATTCATATCGCAAACGATCACGTTCATCAAGACATTTTTTCATTTCCTGGTCAGATTGATCCAATTTTTTAATCAATTTTTTCATTTCATCTTGTAATTGTTGAACTTTTTGCTGTTGTTGTTCGATTATTTTTTGTTGTTGTTGTATTTGTTGTTGTGATTGTGGTTGTTGTCCTTGTTGTTGTTGCTGAATTTGTTGCAATGATTTTTCCTTATCAGCTAAGGCTTGTTGTAATTTTTCAATGAATGTATGTAATTCACCTGTATCCTGTTTAAGGCTTTCAATTTCCATTTGTAATCGTTGATTTTCACCATGTGTTTTTTGTAATTCTGTTTCAGCTTTAGTTAAATGTTGTTTAAGTTTTCCAATTTCACCTTGGAATTTAATCTGTAATTCTTCACGTTGTTGTTGTAGTTCTTGTTGCTGTTGTTGTGATGTTTTCTGTTTTTCCGCTTGTAATGGTGTTGCTGTTGTTTTTTGTTCAACGATTGGTGGACTTTGTTGTTGTTGTTGTTGTTTGGAAACTGAAATCGATTCCTGCTTCTGTAATCGTATCTGCATCTGTTTTAGTTCCACCACTAATTGATCACGTTCTTTTGTTATTTTTTGTAATTCAATTTGATTACGTTCCATTTTATCACGAATCTTTTCGAATTCAATCATCGCTTTTTCAATTTCAGCTTTTTGTTTTTCTTCCGATGTTTTATTACGCTCTAGACGCATTCTTGATGCATCCAATTCACGTTTAAGTGCTTCAACATCTAATTCTTGTTGTTGTCGTAATTCCTGCAATCGTTGTAATTCTGTACGTGCATTTTCATAACGTTCCCGTGTTTTTTCCAATTCCCCATATAATGCTTTAATTTCCTGTGCCTGTGCTTCTAATTGCTGTGTTGACATTCGTTCCATACGATAACGTTCCACATCTGCTTGCAATCGTTGTGATTCTTTAAAGAAACGTTCCTTATCCGCAGAACAACGATCAAAATCGATTTTAATCTTTTCGAAACGATCTTTATATTTTTCCAATTCAATACGTGCACGTTCCAATTCTAAATGTGTTTTGTCGGATGTATTTTGATATTTGATTGCCTGTGATTGAACACGTTCTAATTCTGCTTGCAATGTTTCTTTTTCCATAATAACTCTTTCTTTTTCTGTTTGTACTTTACGTAGTTCGGCAATAGATTTTTCCGATTTTTCATACATTTTTTCCAATTCGATATGTAAACGTTGTATTTCTTCCTGAGTTTTTTCATGTGTCGACATTGATGATGCTCGTTGATTATGAATACGTTCTAATTCATGTGCCATGCGATCACAATCGGTTTGATATTTATCCTTTTCCATTTGTAATCGTCTAATATCACTTTGTGATTTTTCATATCGTTCTCTTAATACTTCACAATCCATTAATGCTTTCTCTAATTCGGTGCGTAATTTTTCTTCCGAATCTTTGCATTTTATTAATTTGGAATTAGTGCGCGCATAAATATCCTGTAGACCTTCAAATTCTTCTTGTGCACGTTTTTGATCTTCTTTTGCTTTGGTTGCAATAGTTTGTGCTTTTTCCAATTCAATCTGTAATCGTTCCATTTCAGTTTGATTTTGATCCATTTTTGCTTGCATTTTAACGAATTCTGCCTGTGTTCGATCAATTTTTTCCAATAATACTTCATTCTCAACACGTACAATTTCACGATCTTCTTGCAGTTTTTGCATCTGTAATGACATTTTTTCCATTTTTTCCCGTATTGTTCTCACTTCTAAATCACGTTGTTCATATTCGTGTTTATTTTTATCAATCATTTTCTGTGCTTTTTCATATCGTTCACGTAATACTTCAACATCAGCTTGATAATTTTCTTTTTCTTTGTGTATTTTAGCCATTTGTTGTCGTTGTTGTTCGAGCCGTTCTTTCATACGTTCCAATTCTTGTTGTAACATTTCCTTTTCTTTTTGATAATTGCGCATCTGTTGTTGTTGTCGTTCGAATCGTTCTTTAGATTTATCCACTTCAATCATTGCTTGTTCACGTTCCAATTGGAATCGTTGCATTTGTTCACGTTGTTGTTGCAACTGCTGTTGTAATTGTTCAATTTCAGCCTGATATCTTTCCTTTTCTGGTTGTACTTTACGTAATTCGGCTTGAATTTTTTCAAATTTTTCATGTAAATGATCAAAATCAACTTGCACTTTATCTAGTGCAATCTGTGCTTTTTCGGCTTTCATTTGTTCTTTCACTAATTGCGAATGTAACCTTTCGACTTCTTGTCGGGATTTCTCTACATCGGCTAATGCCGATTCTTTTTCGATCTGGGCACGTGTCACTGTTGATTGTACACGTTCGTATTCTTCCTGTAGATTTTCTCGTTCGGTCAATGCATTCTCTAGCTTTGCTTTTAATCGATATATTTCACCTTGTGATCTTTCTAATTTTTCTTGTTGTTGTTCAACTTCAGCACGTGCACGATCTTGATCCGCCTGATTCATTCTTAATTCAGCCTGTGCACGCCGTAATTCTTGTTGTGTTTTTTCCAATTTTTCATTCAAGCGTTCAATTTCTTCGGCCGATTTTAATGATGCTGAACTGAAATATCCACTTGTTTTTGAACCGGTTGCTAATTCACGTTCCCGGTCCCATTCACGTGTTTCAGTAAATCTGGATGATTCTCGTTCCCAATTACCGGTTGTACCGGTTGCTGTACTGGCTGTACCAGGACCAGCACCAGTTTGACCAGTTGTTGCATGCTCTTTTAATCGTTCCAATTGTTCGCGACATCGATCATTTTCCAATATTAAACGTGCATTTTCACTTTTAAAACGATCCATTTCTGTTTGCATACGCCATGATTCTGATTGTAATTTATCCAATTCTGCTTTACATTTTCCTAAATCAGATTGGGAATTTTCAAGTTTAACCTCAACACGATCTTTTTCCGATAAACTTTTTTCCAAACGAATCTGTCATTGAAAAAAACATTAATATAATAATCTTTCCGGTGAAAACAACAAAACGAACCTGTAATTTTTCCAAATCGTTTTCAACGGAATGAAATTTCATTTTGAATTCAGCAATTTGTCGTTCATGTATATCTCTCTCTTCATTACGTTCTTGTTCGGCACGATCACGTTGTTCACGTAGATTTGCAATCTGTTTATCTTTATCACTGATTGCATCTTCTAAACTTGTTAACGCACCTTCCGATGTTGAATGGTGTGCCTGTATTGCATTTAATCGTGCGCGACAAATATCAATTTGATTGTCTTTTTCTTTTAATAATTCTTCAAGATTTTCAATCTAAATTATCATGGAAATTTTTGCATTAATTAATCAATTCAATTCGATTCGAAATTAAACAAACCTTTCGTTGTAAGACATTAATTTTGCGATCTTTTATTTCGATATGATCTCTTAATTCCTGTATCTCTTGATTCATCTGTTTACGATCCTGTGATGTCATCATTGTTTGATGTGTTTTCTTTTCGATCAATTTATTTTTCTCTTCTAATCGTGATCGTAATTCTTCCACATCAGCCTGTAGCATGCTATAATGTTCTTCTTTAGCCATCAATGATTCTTTTAACACGGCAATATGTCGTTGATAATCTTGATGTTGTTCTTCCAAGGTTTTCATTTTGGCACCTAATGCCAATATTTCTTGATCACGTTTGGATAATTCTAATTTCATTTCTTGATTCTGTTCGATTTCAACAGCAAAAAAAATCAATCAATTAGTTTGCAAAAACACAATAATTTACCTTTAGAATTTCTTTTTCTTTGGTTTCCAATACATTTTCTAAATGTCTTAATCTGGTTTCAAGCTCAATATTTCTTGTTCGTAATCGTTCATATTCGATACGTTCTTCTTCCATTATTTTCGAACTATAACCTTTTGCCTGCATCATATCCATTAATTTTTTTATCGATTCATCACGTGCATTTAATGTTTGCTTTTGTGTTTCGATACGTAATTCCAATTCCTTTTGGAAAGAAACAAAAATTATTTGATTTTTTTTCATTCACAATTTCGACCACCAGATGGCTTTAAATGCCAGATTTGATTTATTGTGAAAAACAAAAAAAAATTGATAAAAATTAAACATACCTTGTTGGTTTCCCGAAGCAAATAAATTTCTTTGGACATATGTTCTTTTTCCATATAAAGTGCATCCAAATGTTGTTGTACATCATGATCCGGATTACGCATATTAGCTATCCGTAATTCTTCTTCCAATTGTCGTATCAATGCAGCTTGTTTCTATATTTTGTCATAAAAAAATAATTTAAATTTTCATTATTGATGATGATGATGATGGAATATGTTTGATGATGATGATAAAATACCTGATTTTCTGATCGTAATATTTTAAGCTGATCATTGATCAAGGCATATTTGGCAGCTTCCTCTTTACGTAGGGCACGTTCTTTTTTCAATTCTGGACTCCAAAATGTTTTAATACTATGCATACATGATGCTAATTTTTGTGTGGTTGCTTCTAGCTCTCTTTTGACATGATTATATTGGATTTGTAAATCATTTAATCGTGCTTGTAATTCCATAATAAATTGATCGTTTGTTGCTGATAAACGTCCGCTTGTAGGCGGTAGACCAGTACCGGCTGGTCCATAAGGCATACCGGATTGACCAATAACACCGGTCGGTCCAACACCACCACCCATACTATGCATTAGACCACCGGCACGTCCGGTTGAAGGATTCATAAGTGTATCGCGTCCATAACCCATTGGATCATCTAATAATAATGGGTCACGTCCATATGGTGCCGATGGATCATCACGTGGATAAAGGGCGCGATCTAATGAACGATCACGTTGACGCATTGATCGTACAGTATCTACACCTGCCATACGATCAAATGATCGATCACGATAACCAGGTTCACGTTCAATTGAATGATAACTTCGTAATGGTGCTCGTCGACTTCCGGCCATACCACGATGCATTGCACGTCCACCACCAGTACCACCCATCATACCGTCCATCATACCTGGACTTCCTGGATCATCATAATAGGCAGGAAATCCGTGACCATATGCTGATGATGTACTTAAAGATTGTGGTAAATGCTCAGCAGGTAATGTTAGTGGAGAATTATTATGTGATCTCGATACACCATATGGAAGACGACCACCACCAACACCACCTGGTCCACTAGCGCCCATACCAATACCACTACGATGTCTTGATGTGGGTGACATCAAACCTCGTGAACCAAAACCGATTGGTGATCCACGTGCAGATGGTGGCTGTGACATTGAATGATTCATTGCATAGGCAGGTTTTGATGGTGAACCACCAGCACCAAATGGTGCAACATCACCCATTGAACGTCTTAATGAACGTGTACGAGAACCAGAACCGGCCATGCCACCACCTGGACCAACAACACCACCATAACCACCATGTTGTGATACACCGCCAACCGGTGGTCCAACAACTGGACCGCCAGTTAATGGATCAACCATACCACCGGATACTTGGCCACCATGTAGGCCAGCCGTTGTTTGACCACCTCCATACATTTTTGCAAAAAATTATTATTCTTTGGTTATTTTGTTTTGTGTGTGTTTGAAAGAATCGATCAAAGCTAGCAATTGAATTGATTTTTCATTCGAAACAAATAAATGGCTAAAATGATCAAAGTGAAAAGAGATGGCCAAACAAATTTTTGAATTGTTCAATTTTGAATCGATTTGATTAAATTTTATGGCAGTATTTTATTAATGATTCATTAATATGCGTTTCTATTCGAATATCGTATGTGTTTGTGTGGTTGATTGGCTAGATTTCAAGACTTTTTCATTGCTTATTTCAATAATAATGATCATGAAGAAATTGAAAAAAACTGGGAAAAATTCTTTTTCTGTGTGGCAGTGATATGAATGAGAACAACAACAAAAAAACACAAAACAAAAAAAAAGAGTGGAGGAATATTGTTGAAGATTTTTGTCGATGTTGTTCTGTTCAGACTAATTTTGAATTTTCAAAAAAGCGAGAAAAAGATAAAATAAAAGATTATAATTAAAATTTTGAAAAAATGATCAATTTTATTCAGGAATGATAAACCAAAAAAGAAAAAATTTAACACTCTTTCCATCATTGGGAAATTTTCAAAATATTTTCGCATCAAAAATGAAAAACTGAAAGGGTAATGATAGTAGTTTGATATTGGCAGAGAAAGTGAATATGAGAAAAGTGAAAATTTTCTATGAAATAATATGTCACACACATACACAATGATCAATATCAGTATAGTTGGCCTAGTGTAGAAGAAATAAAAAAATGATAAAATTATTTGATTGATCGATCAATCGATCGATCGATCGATCGATCCAACCATCTATCTATCTATATATCTAACTAACTATCTATCGATTGTTTGATTGTGATCGATCTAATCAATATAGAGAGTAGGAGAGAAAGACAAAACAAAAACATCAACGACAATGATCCATATCTATTGCACCAACAATGCCATAATAATCATTATTATGGTGATGAAATTTTTTGTTTTGTTTTTTTTGATCAAATCTAGAATAGTCGCTAGTAATAAAGAACTTTAAATGAATTTATTTTCCTTTTCCTTTTCTTTTTGTTTTGTCTTTCAAAAGAACATGCAATTCTGGTTATCGGGAAAAATTTCTTTAACGATATTTAAAGTATGTGTGTGGAATTGGAAGAATTTGAATTGGACGGAACTTGTCAAAATTTAAAAAATATCTCCCATTTTAAAATGTTCAGCAAAAAAAAAATTTGTCTAGACTGAAAAAAATCCTCATCCATTTGATTATCATTAATATGTGTTCAAGCAAAAAAATGGAAATTTGAATCATGGATTTTGAAATTTGTTGTTTGAATATTTTTCAAACAAAATTATATAATTCAATTGAATTTACCTTTATTTTTTCTTCAGCTCATCATAATAAAATTGAATTTATTTTCATCAGCATTTCAACAAATAGAATATGATTGAAAAATAAGTTGTTGTTGTTGGTTGGTTGTAATTTAATTTGATCAAATCAGTTACACAAAGTATAATATCAAAGTGTGATAATTAATACACTTACAAAGACACTCCTTCTATACATTTTTCTGGTTTGCAACAACAAAATAATCGTAAAAGCCCACACACACACTAATTAAGTAGAAGAAGAAAAAAAATGATAAAATTTTACTGTGATAAATAAATGATATCGATGATTATTATTATTTATATAGTAAGCAAAAATAATCAATGGATGGATGGATGAATATGATATATTTTATTTTTAATTGAAGTAAAGTAAATTGATTGATTAATCAATGATGATTGGTATGTGTTTTATGTTTGTGTATGTTTTAGGTGTGTATTTTAAATGTGTTGTGTGTGTGTGATGTTTAGTGATGTTTTTTCTGTTTCTCGCGAAATTGAATTGATCAGTGTTTGATGTAAATTTGTTATTATTGTTGTTGTTTGTTGAATTTTATAACGTTTTTTTCTTGTTGTTTTTCGATATTTTTCCATTGAATTATGGATAAAATTCATCGACAAATTGATGATGAATAATGATGATTATAATAATAATAATGCATTCTGTTGTTGTTGATGATAATGCATCATATTGAATTATTTTTCTTTCTAAAACAAAAAACAAACATTTTTCTTCTTTTTTCTCTCTTCTTGTTGAAACAATGATGTAAAAAAATTGAAAAAAGTTTTTTTTTCGGGTAAACGAAGAAAACCAACACACACACACACACTTTTCACCAAGAACAAGAGAGAGAAGAAGATGGAGATCAAGACGAGTGAAGAAAAAAACCCAAAACCAAACCAAACCCAACCGACCTACTAACCAATGATGATGATGAAATATGATGGTGATGATGATGATGATAAATACACAGAATGCGCGAGGGAGAAAAAGAGAGAGAAAATTTGAAGAAACCCGAATTGGTTTTACCGAACCAAAAAAAACGACCCAATGGATAGATGAATGAACAACAAAGTGGGAAAAAAATACCGCTTTTCCCAAATGTTGAGTTGCAGAAAGAGAAAGAATGAAGGGAGTTTAAAGAAGTAGAAGAATTGTCCCAAACCCAATTCGACCAGAAGAAGAAAAAGAAAAATAATAATTTTGTTGGGAATGCAACCAGCAAAATAAAAGGAAAACCCAAAATGTAAAAATTAAAAAAATACAAGAAAAAAAGGGGGATAAATAATAATACTCAAGGACCTTAACATTTGGCGCCACTGCTACTACTAATTACTTTTATAACCAATACTACTACTAGTGTTCCAATTGGAGCGATCATCGATATATATAGAATTCTATATCAGCGTTTATTCTTTGCTATACTAACCACTACTTTGATGATCAAGAATGTCATGTTATCGTTTTATTTTGGACAAAATATACCCTCCCCTACACTCATGAAAAGGGTACGGTTATTATTATTATTATTATTATTATTACGAGAAATCTTTGAAATACAAAGGTATGGAACTCTCTATCTATATATAAAATTGATTCCATAATAATAATGATTTCTTTCAGTTGAAAAGAATTGGGTTATCAGTGCATGCGTTATATGAATAGATTTGGTTGATTTGGTTTTGTTTGGTTTGTTGGGCGCCAGTCAATGGCCAATAAACATTGTTTGTATTTTTTCATTTTATTTGCTGCTACTTTTATTTGTCTCATTATGAACAATCGGAATATTCTGATAGTGGCTTGTCCTTGGAATTTTTTTTTTGTTTCGTTTAAGTTCTCAATTTTTTCTTGAATCTAAATGCTTCTTCTTCATCACCATCAAAATCATCATCATAATGACCACCACCACCAACAACAACAACAACAGGCGACAAAGTTGCAGCAATATTCAAACAAGGAAAAAAACAACAAGATAGTGAAAGTATAAGGGCCAAAGAAAAATAATAATAATTGATAGATTCCAAGGACATTTCGCTTACAAACAAACATAGAGCAAAAAAAAGAAAAAGTATATCGGATATCCCATATACACCAAACAAAATAAATGATAACAACAACAGGAAAAAATCTATCTACCATACCATACCATAGATACGTTTGTCATTATTTTTCATTGTTATTGTTGTTATTATTGTAGAATATATATAGCTATTGAGAATCAAAGAATTATTACAATTCACAATATGGCAATATAGTGGGTAAAACCGGGTAGAAAAAGAATAACAACCATTCTTGAAAAATAAAACGGAATCTGTCTGAATTTGAAAAAAAAAGAATTGAGGTCGTAGGACAACATTTCCATCACATCATATGTGGATGTGTCATATAGAATCTACTATTTCTCGTTTCGTTTTCGTTTTCGTTTTCGTTTGGCTTCTGCTTTGTCTTTTTTTTCATTTTTGTTTTGCTACACGGAAAAAATTGTATCAGTGAAACGAAAAAAGCGAAAATAGAATAAAATAAGAACATGATAAAAAAACTATGTATGCGATTACAACAACAACAAAATAAAATAAAAGAATGAACCATATACATTTAGAATAAGAATTGGATTCTTATTCTGAATAATTCTAGTCGATCCAGAAAAAAAACATTGTTCCAAAATCATGCGCATTTATGAAAATGAAAATGAAATCAAAATCAAACAAAATGAATGAATGAATGAATAAATATCTATAGTATCTATTTTTTGTAGTATGGATATTGTATTGAATATATATTTGAAAACAAACGGAAGAAAAATTTCTTTTCTTTAAAATGCTTTTTGCGTAACATTTTCATATTCATTGATGATTGGTTGGTTGATTGGTTGTGATATGATTGGCGGTAGTAACCAGAAAAAAAACATTGAATGAACTAATGTTTCAATGTTTAGGATATTTTTCTCGTTTATTTCTTGTTTTTGTTATGTAATTATTTAGAGAATAATGATAATAATAACGGTAGTTTTTTTTGTATCCCATTCCCTATATATATTTATGTATGTTTGGTTAGCATTGGAGAATATTTCTTTCTTTTATTCTTTCGGTGTCTATAGACCAAAATATTACATCGATACTAATAAAAGAGACTCTATCATAATACTAATAATAATGAAATTTTTTTCTCCGATTTTCTTGGAATTGGTTTTGGTTTTCATTTCCATATTCCGGCACAAATAAACTAGCCAAAAACAGTGAGAAAATGAAATTTTATTGTTAGGATATCTTCTAGGACGGAAATTTTTCTACGTTTCATATCGATATCATTATCAAATTTTCAATTTGATTTTTCTGATTCAATTTGCTTATGATGATGCAATATTTCTTGGGAAATTCCAGGTTTTAAAAAATATAAATATAATTTTTGTTTTCATCCACTGTATACTGTGTAATGCAACTAGTTGACAACAAGAATATTATATTTTGGATGACATTAGCGAGAAGAAAAAAATATTGATAATTTATAATTTTTTAAAAAGAAAATTTATTTTTAGATTTTAAATTTTATTTTCATTTTTGTTTGTTTGTTTTACCGTAACAACGAATATTATTTTTGGAAAAAAAATTGAAAATCCATTTAGCAAACACACATATATAATATGTTCCATTCTTGAAACTCACGTTTCAACGAAGAAAAAAAATGTTTCTTCTTCAGAAAGATAGATATTTAAGAAGATTAAATATCCGTGTGTGATAGACATTATCGTTTTCGTCATTTCATTTCGTTTTCATTCATTCAAAGTTTCTCAACAATCTTTTTTTCCCCTGTTTCTCTTTTTCTTTCTTACTCTATGATGATGATTATTGCATTCAATTTGGATTAGATTTCATTTACGATTTTTTTTACTTTCGTTTTGGATATTTTAGGTTTTTTTCATGTGTAATATCATATCATCTTTCGGAGTATTTCTGAGCAGCCCTATAGACTCGATCATACAATGTTTTTCTTTTTATTTTTGGTTTCAAGAATTGTGAATTTGATTTTGATTTTTTTTGGGATAGTTAAATCAAAGATGTTGTTGTTTTGTGTCCTAAAAAAAAGAAAAAAATCAATTCCAATGAATCTTGACAGTTGGCGAAAAAATGACCTAGTTTTCGGTTTATTTCCATCAATTGAAATGATTCATCTCTATTTTTCAGTATATTTTGATCATGATTTGATTGAACTTTTTTTTGTTTGGTTCAATTCCCGATAATTCATTCAATTGATTCATTTGAAAAGTTTTTCATTTGAATTTCAATGTTAATTGATGATGATGATCGAAAATGTGACATTCAAAGTTGATAAAATTGAAATAAAAAATCAAAACATATCAAATCAGGAATAAGAAATTTTAAAGTAAAAGTCATGGTCATAGTCATTAACCTAACCTAAGTGAACTATGAATCACAATCATAGTCATATTCAGCAACCTAACCTCACTCAACCATGAATCACAGTCACAGCCATAGTCAGCAACCTAACCTCACTCATCCATGAATCATAGTCATAGTCAGCAACCTAACCTCACTCAACCATGAATCATAGTCATAGTCAGCAACCTAACCTCACTCAACTATCAATCACAGTCATAGAATATGAAGTTTTTTTCATTGTTGTTTTTTTATAATATCTATAAAATAATAATCCAGAAACTAATTAGGCTGAAAAGAAAGAAATTTTCTTCTTCATTTTTCCCATTTATTTCTTATTGAACCAAATGAAAAATAAAAAAAGAAACTGTTTGGTAATATTTCAAGGTTTATTGTGTGGGTGTCATCATTACCACTACTGTTAGTCATTAAAAATAGAAAATGAAAATAAAAAATATCCCAATAAAATTACTCAATATCACTGATCATTGATGATGATCATCATCCAAATAATTATGATGATAATTAGGATTTCCGGGAAATTCCCAATGTCAAAAAAAGAAAACTCAATCTCTCAATAATGATGATGATGATCATAATAATGATATGGATTGTGTAAGTGATCACATCATAATTGAATTGTTGAATTATGTTGTGTTTTTTAAATAATAATAAAAAACGTCAAATCAGAATCATCATTTTTTTCGGAAGAAAACATTTCGACATGATTAAAACAAACAAACAAAACATAACGTTATTAATTAGCAAGAAGAAATATTGTTATAAAAATTCATAAAGATGATGTTCATCAGGATTCATTCGTTCATGTGCAATGTGACTGTGAATGTTTTTGTTGCTGTCACTGGTTGTTCTCATAACTTTTTTCTGTTTTTTTTTGTTCTAATTAATTAATTTTAATCCAAAAATAAAGTTGGTGGCTAGATTTTTTTTGTTTCAAAAAAAAGTTTTTTTCTTTGCAAAACATTTTTCATAAAAACAAACACAGATCCCTATTGTTTTTGTTGAATTTTTTCTTTTTCAGTTCATTGTTGATTGATATTTTGGACCATAATTATCAAGTCAAGAGCGAAAAGAAAAAAAACCAAAACCAAAAAATCATTTAAAAATAGAAAAATTTCCAAATAAAATGCCATCGGGTCCAGATGTGAATATTCATTCATTCATCATAATGATCATCAGCGAAATTTTTTTTCTATTTCCATTGTTCCCTTCAAAGTAAAAATTCAATCGGAATTTATGAGAAAAACACTATATATACGTTATTCTTCATAACATTATTATTCGATTCTAATTCGGCTGAAAAGATATACATAGAAATGGCTCCCGATCATTATTATTATTATTGATTTAGGTCGAACCGGTCGATTATCAAATAGCTTTAGGGTAATTTTTTATTGGAATCGTTTTGCATCAATTTCATTATTTCGGTGCATTATTTATTCATTCAATGTTGGTGTGAATATAGTGAGAGAGAGAGTTTTTTCATTATTTATTAGCCTCTCTATCTATAGATATCGTTGTTGTTGTTTGTCAACGGAATTATTCACATCCACACACACACACAAACAAACAATTTATGCTTTGTGATTGAAAATATTACCTATTTTGTCAACTATATAATTTTCATCATCAAATATCATTATAATAATAATGAAAGAATCATAAAATTTGTAATTTTTTTTCTCAAAACGAAATTTTAAAGTCCAAAACAAACAGAGTAAGAAAAAAAACCATTTATCGATCTGAAAAAAGTTGTGAACGGTTCCTGAATTTCCAAAAATAAAATAAAGAATCCTGGCTGAAATGTTTTCCCACACACACATTTATCTATCGATCAGGATGACTGTCGAAAAACGGAATTGAAAAAAATATTCCGGAAATATTTTTCATTTTCAAATATTATTTTTTCAAATTTACTTTTCAATCAAAATTCTATCACATGTAATGTTATCAAATGGGGAAGGCCAAAAAATTGGCATTTTACGATGAGAAAATTATTATTATTATTATTATTATTATGGTTCAAATCATTATCATGAAATGATGGATGTCAAACAAAAAAAACTTTTCCAATTTCTAAACGGAGAGAGGTGTGAAACGACGACGATGATGATCGAAAAAAAAATCAAAAATGAAGAGAAAAAAATTGTCTGGAATTCGAACCATAACGGAAAAACAGTTTGAAACAAAACGAAAAAAACTTTGTAATCTAAAAACATCCGAATGCATGAATCATGTTTTTTCCATATATTAACATTTGGACATTATCAGTTAGGTTTGCCTTTTTTTCTACACCGAAAAAATGACCATCTGTATTTTCGATATAATTGGAAAGTGGGTAGAAAGAGAAAGTTTCAATTTCAATTTTTTTCGAATTTGCTTTGCTTTGCTCCGATAATTCCATAATGTCCTTTAGGCGACCTAACTTAGATTTCAAATGCACACACATGTATTCTGTGTGTTCATTTTGAAAATCAAAAGGGCAGGTGAACAAAAACGAAAACGAAAAATCAATTGATAAAACAAAAACCAAAATTCAATCAAATTTTTTTTTGTTATTTAATTCAATACATTGTTGTTGTTGTTGTTTGAATTGAATTGTTTAAAAAATTCAATTTGATCGATTCTTTCAATGATCATAATGAAGATGATGACAAGCTGTAGCAGTAGCAGTAGTAATCTTTTAGTGTGGCCTTAGGAAATTATTATTATTTTTTGCTTTACATTTTACTTTTGTTCATTTCATTTTTTTGGGGCCAATTTTTGATTCTGTTCAATTCTTCCTTCGCATGTCTAAATGATGATGATGATGATGGTCATGTATATATTGTTGTCCTTGTTGTTTTCGCTATATATTCGATTTTTGGACAGAATTTTCAGGATTCTGTTAGTGATTTTTTTTCATCAACCATGCTTATGGTTCCATCTAGTATTGGTCGTTGGAAATTATTCATGGTAAACATGTGATTCTGTTTTTTTTCGGAATTTCAGATTTTGTAAATATTAAATGAATGAAAAAATGTTGCCACCAATTTCTGTGATGAAAAAAATATTTGATCGACGATGGCAAATTTTTATCGTTCGTAATTTATCATCATCACCATCACCATCGTTATCGTTATCGGAAACAACAAAACGAATTCGAAATATTGGTCTTGTTGCACATATTGATGCAGGTAAAACAACAACAACCGAACGAATGTTATATTATTCTGGTTCAAGCGAACAAATGGGTGAAGTTCATCATGGTGATACTGTAATGGATTTCATGGAACAGGAACGTGAACGTGGTATTACAATAACAATGGCTGCTGCTACAATCGAATGGCTCAAACATCATATCAATATTATCGATACACCGGGTCATGTTGATTTTACATTCGAAGTTGAACGATCATTATCAGTATTAGATGGTGCTGTTATTGTTCTTGATTCAGCTGCTGGTGTACAAGCACAAACAATAAAAATATGGCGTCAGGTACAAAGATTCAATATTCCTGGTTTATTTTATGCAAATAAAATGGATAAATCTAATGCATCATTAGATCTTTGTTTACAAAGTTTACGACAAAAACTGCAAATTGAACCATTATTACTTCAATTACCAGTTCGAAAACAAGGTATATTAACCGGCATTATTGATCTAATCAATGGAAATCTTCTTCAATGGCCATTAGACCATAATGATCGTATAGAAATGAATCGAAATTCATCACCAATCGAAAAACATTGTCTTTTATCCGATAAAATTTCGTCAAAATTTCTGACATCAAATGAGCATCAACAATATCGTGATGAAATGTATCATGAACGTGAATGTTTGATATCAAAATTAAGTGATTATGATGATACATTAGCCGATCATGTTCTTTCATTGAATCAAATTCATGATGTTAATCCTATTGAATTGATTAAATCTATACGAAAATTATGTCTTCAGCGACAATTATGCCCATTATTGATTGGTAGTTCATATCGTAATATCGGTATACAACCATTATTGGATGCAATATGTAATTATTTACCCGAACCAATGGAAACACGTACAAATCAAATTCTTTATGAACATTATACAAAAAATCCCTCCAAACCAACATCTACAGAAAATCTATGTGCATTAGCATTCAAAATACATTATCATCAACGATTAGGTTTATTAACTTATCTTCGTATTTATTCTGGTTCATTAACAACCAATATGAATGTTTATAATTTAAACCGACAATCGATGGAAAAAATTATTAAAATATATCGTCCATTTGCTGATCATTTTCGTGAAATTACTGCCTCCACTGATCATCATCATCATACGAAAACAATTCGAGAATCAAATAATCAAGTTACAATTGGCGATATTGTTGCCGTCTCTGGTTTATCACATACAATCACTGGTGATACATTAGTTCATTCAAATATTGAAAATAATAATCATGATGATGAGGATAATGATGAATTACCAATGTTAGCCGGTATTGAAATACCTGAACCAGTTTATTATTGTTCATTAGAATGTCCAAGTGTTTCGAAATTTAAACAATTGGAACTAGCATTACATCATCTGCAACGCGAAGATCCATCATTACATGTTAATTATGATCGAAATTCTCAACAAATAATTATCAAAGGAATGGGTGAATTACATATCGAGGTAAATTTTGCAATTCATTTTTTTTCAATGATAATTTCATAATGAAATTTTGTTTTGTTTATAGATCATAAAAGATCGTATTAGACGTGAATATGGTATACAAGTTGAAACTGGTCCATTACAGGTATCATATAGAGAAACAATAACAAAAAATCATCGCGAAACAATGGAACAAACAAAAATTATTAGTGGTCATTCAAATCATATTCGAATCAGTTGTGAAGTTCGTCCAAAATTAAGTTTATTGGATAAACATTTATCGGAAAATATTGAACAAGATTTAAATGATAATGGGGAAAATATCAAACGAAAATCTGAAACAATTGTTAAAATTGTCAATTCAAAAGATCATAATCTTACTAGTCAAATACGGCCATGGCAATTGAAAGCAATTTATTCCGGTGTATCAAAAGCAATGGAATATGGACCATTATTTTCATTTCCTGTGGTTGGTGTACAGGTTTTTCTGTATGAATTTCAAACCAATTCATCATCACCATTATCAGCACCATTCATTACAAATATAACTAGTCAATGTATATTACAAGCATTACGAAAATCGGAACCAATTCTAATGGAACCAATAATGTTTGTTGAAATTATAACACCTGAACAATTTATTGGTCCTATTATATCCGATTTAACTATACGTCGTAGTCAATTAATGGCCGCTCATCATCAATCATCATCGATAATATCCGAACGGAATATTTTAGCCAAAGTACCATTGTCCGAATTATTTAATTATTCAACAACATTACGTTCAATAACATCCGGTATGGCTACATTTGATTTACGTTTACATTCATATCGACCATTAAATAATGAACAAACAGCTAATGTTATCAAATCGATTAGTGGTATTGATTAATTGCAACAAAAAGGATTCTTTCAACAACAACAAAAATCAATTCATTTGTCATTTTTGTTATCACCATCATTCATTCATTCATTCATGAATGCCATTACCAATAAAGTTCTGATCTGTCGAATTTAATTGATTTTTTTCAATTTCAAAGATTTTTTGAAAAATAAAAAAAACAATTTGAAATTTGCTTTTCAATTTCAATTTTTTATTTTTTTTTATTGATTAATTTTTAAAAATAATAAAACTTTTAGCAATAAAAAACAAGTGTAACGTAACTAAGTGTTTTCAAAAATTGATATTTCCCTCTTCTATCCCCAGATTTTATAAGTTTTTTTGTCATAACAACAAAATTGATAACCATTTCGGAAATAGACATCATTTAGTTATTCATTTTTTTTTTGTTTTAACCAACAAAAAAGTGAGAAAAACCAAACATTATCAAATGTCAAAAACATAATTCTTCAATGTCAGAAAATGGAAAGAAATAAGTGATTCAATGAAAAAACCCCCTCTCAATTTACATAGAGTTCAATTCATCATCATCATCATTTGTTGCTTGATTCACATTACAAATGAATGATGCTCTCGATTCATGACGCCAGGAAAAAAAATAATTTGAATAAACAACTTTACATACATCACACCACACATAAAAAGAGAGTATCCCGCGATTCATTTATGCGCAAATTCAAACAATGTATATCTCTATGTATACATTCACTGTTTGAATGTAAACCTGTTTAACCTTTTGTTGTTGTTGTTGTCTCTTATTTTTGATATAATCCATTCGAATAATTATCTCTCTCATTATATGATAAAATACTTTTCATTTAAAAGTAAATAGAAAAAAATTAAAGCTTGTTGCACATCTTGTATTTACATCATCGTCATTTGGTTGATCTATGTGTCGACACACACACATTGACTGTATCTATGTTCATAACTTGTTCTGATCATTTTCAATTCATTTCAATTCATGATAATGATGATGATGGCTTCCATTCTCATTGGATTGTATAGTAACTATTCAGTCATTCAGTCAGTCATAGTAGCAGTAGCAAATGCAACATGTTGATCACACCATACATACACTGTATTTTTTTTGGGGGGGAAATGCTTATTTCATCATTGATGATGATGATGATGGAATGTAATAGAATGGGATGGAAAATGGAAAATGAAAAGAATAGAACTAACTGGGAGCCATCATTACTGAAAAATTGTTGTGTGTGTTGAAATATACATAGCAAAGTTGTTGTTGTTATTGTCAGTTGTTGAAGAAGAAGAAGAAATACAGGATGAATAGATGTTGAATGATGATGGTGGTGAGTTGAATTTCCTTGAACATACAACATACAACAAACAGCGAAAACATACGAAAACAAATCATTCATTTGATTCATCATCATCGTTATTATTATTTTTTATTGAAAAAATGTGAATTTTTCTTTTGAGTTGCAATCAAAAATATAACATTATAATCTATGTGGATGTTTACCTTTTTTCCGTTTTATTGTTTTTTCTGATTTAAAATTATTTTTTCCTCAAAAAAACAACAGCAGCAACAACAACAACTGTTTGTCAATTAAAGAACAAAAAAAAAAATCCTGACATCTTACTTTTTTTTGATGGAAAAAAATACAAACCAAACATCTACCATAAATGAAACTGATCAGTTACAAAGAGATTATTGATGATGATAATGATGATAATGATTAATCAAACAAAACACATAATCAATCTAATCACAATCGTAATCCATTGTCATTATCATTATTATCATTGTTGCATAAGGTTAATGAAATTTTATGTAAATTGATTTGTTTAAAAATGTGTAATGAAACAAATGATAAGATTCGATCATCATCACCATCTTCTTTGATGACAATAATGACAGCAAAATCAAATAATATAACATTATCATTATGTTTATTCATTTCCATCATAATATTTTCCTTTGGTATGTGTTATTATTTCATTCAACTTTTTTCCTTTGACTTACATTATTTCCGGTTCGATTCAATCAAGGCCAATCAAAAAAGAAGAAATGACAAAATTGTTATTATTATTGGTTGACCTTAATTCTTTGATGATATGATTGAATTTTTTTTCCTTCGTTCATTTTCCTGATTTATAACTTTGACCAATTTTTTTTTTTAAATTTTTTGTTAATTAGGTATTGCACATGGGGAAATATGTCGTCAAATATTACCAAATTCATCAAAAATAGAAGTATTTGAATGTCCACGTTTATTTGAATCCCGTATTAAATCGTGGTGTTGTCAATCAAATACATTACATCCAACTTGTTGTCCATGGAATGAACGTATGCGTGAAGCTGAACCACAACGTTTAACATTATCAACAATTATTGTTAATCTGTTATGGATTATATTTACATGCATTATAATATTATTTATATTATATTGTTGTTGTATACATAACAAAAATCGTAAATTTAATCAACAACAACAACAACAAAATATTGATTATTGTCCTCATCATCTTCATCAATCACATCATCCGGATCCAAGTTGTCCACCAGTTTCATCATTACATAATCAAAATAATAATGTTAATAATGATCAAACGATACCGATTCTGGACCCACCACCACCATATGAATCAATTGTCAATAATAATAATAATAGCAGCAGCAGCAATAACAACAACGGTATGCATTTTATTAATATTGACAAAACAAATATCATTTCCTATTGATTATGTTATCCATGACTATAGAATCTGCTGCTACGATACCATCATCAACATTTTTAACCATTAATACGAATGTACCATTTCAACAACAATCATCAATTATTGATGATAATGGCCAAACAACAACAGCAACTATTCAGGAACATAATCGACAATCACCATATAATCCTGAATTTTTTAAATAAAACTAATAAACATGATACTCATTCTTTTTTTCCCCAATACATTCCCTGCCAAATATTTTTGTCCCATTCTTTTCTCTCGTCAGAATCGATCATTTTTTTCATTTAACTCATCTTTTTTTTGCTTTATTTTTTTTGAAATTTCCCACCATGATTGGTATGTTTATAAAGATGGGGAAAAAGAAAATTTTATTTTACGTTGTTTCAAATGTAAAAGAAATAATAAAAGAAATTTAATTGTGTTTTGTTGGATAATTTCAAATTAGTTTGATTATTTAGTGGAGAAAATAGCATTGTCATTGTTTTTTTGAATATTCATGTATCGTCATCTAGTGGATGGTTATTCAATAATGTCGACTTTTGTTTAAAATAATTATAAATAACAGTAATAATAACAATATCCAAATCGATGATATGTTTATTGAAAGCCAAACAAATTCAGCAACCAGTGTATGTTCAAAGTAATGATCAAATGACCATCCTCTTGACATTGCTGAACGCATTGATTCAGCAATCGATGTGGATGGATATAAATATAACATTATTGTATGAATGATTGGTGGTAAACATTGTAATGGAAATATAAGACCAGCCAATGTAATCTGTATGATAAAATTAATCCAATGTATTATAATCGTTGTTTGTAATGATGTGGATAACATTAATATAATTGTTGCCATTAAAATTATAATCGATTGTATGATCGATAATGTTATAAATAATGTTAAACCCGATATTTGAAAACGTAATTCCATAATGGACAGTAATATTATTATGAATAATATTGTTTGTATAATTATTTGCAAAAATTTTATACAAAACCATATCATCAATAATGAACATCTGGATATTCTTGCCATTGCTAATGATGAATGAAACATTTTTGAATGAATTAATTCATTCAATTCCCAGATCGATAATATTGATATGGAAAATTGCATGGCCAGCATGATTACGCCTGGCAGAAGAAAATCAGTCATTGGTGTATTTTCATCACCATATACATTCGGTACAACTACCGATAATGGTTGTGTCATTCTTGTTTCAACTTGATTTTCTTTAGCATCATGATGGGCACGTTCTAATGCTTGTAAAACTCTTGCCTTAACAAAACCAGCAATCAATATATTAGTATTATCAACATACATCAATATGGTAACCATATTGATTTTGGTTTCGAATTCTTGTTCCGGTAATATTGTTGTTGTTGTTGATGCATTTATTGGATTAATTATCAGATTAATTTCATCATCATCACCGGAGACATCATCACAATGCTATAGTAATTCAATTAAAAAGTTAGTTTTGGCAAACATTTTGCTGTTTGTCTAATACAAACCTCTAATGCCTGATTAAATATCGAATTAGTATAATTGGCTGGAAATTCTAATGCAGCCCATGCTTGTCCATTACGTACCATTTGAATAGCATCATCCAAATTATCATAATGAATTAGATCAATTGTTTGACTATCCAATACATTCAATACATGTTTACTAACAATTGGTGGTGAATCTGGATTATAAACAGCAACCATTAATTCATGTGGATTTTGTCCCAATAATTTTAAACAAAATATAACCGAGAATGTTGGTAATATTAATTGTAACAATGTTAATGGCAATTTTTTCAATATGAATAATTTTATTAATAATTGAAATATCATTATAAATTTTGTGCTTGCTGATACTTGTCGATAACGATTTGGTTCACATGGTTCTAAATCGTTTGTTTTTTTCAATTCATTCAATGTTTCAGCAATAATAATTTCACTATTAATTCTTGCTGATAAACAATGACGTGTAAATTCATTGATTTTTTCATTTGCATCCAATGAAATTGTGGAAAATTTTTCTTTGATCGTTGTTTTCGTATCGTTTTCTTGATCATCATCATTGCTTGAACAAGCAATAGGATCGCTTATATTAATCTGATATAAATGACATGGATATAATTGCCGATGATCAATAATAGCAGCTTGATCAGCAAAGCGACAATCTTCAACGTTTTTTGTTGAAAATATAACTGTAATACGTTCTTGTTTACTGGATAATTTTAATTGACGCCAAATCTGTTCTTTTAATATAAGATCAGAACCAAAATCTGGTTCATCTAATATCAATACACTTGGTGAATGAATCGATGCCAATGATAATGATATTAATGATTGTTTCGATTGATCTAATTGTTTGATTGGTTGTTTAGCTTCACTGATACCAATCAAATTGATTAAACGATCATATCGGATATTTACTTCTTCTATAGGTAAACCATGTAACCGAGTCATTAGCAAAAGATTTTCAATAATTGTTAATTGCGAAAAAAATCCATCGGTTTGTGGCATAAAACCAATTCGTATTGGTTGATCATAATGTTGTCCATAATAGGTAACATTACCTGATGTTGGTAACCGAATGGTTGCAATTGTTTCCAATAGAGATGTTTTACCCGTTTGTTTCGAACCAATAATAGCAAATATTTGTCCATTATCGATACGAAAATTTAATGATTCAAACAGAATATTATCCGATGATTGTTGTTTATTAGTTGTAATACTAACTTCAATTAATTCAATTAAGAAATTATTATTATTATCATCCATTTGATTATTTGTTTTATTTAAATTTGATAATCGATATGGGCGATGTTTTTTTCGATTTATATTTGTAATTTTATTATTATCGTTATTTGATTTGAATTGTTTATCATCATTATCAATATTGATTGATGATGATGTTGGTATGTCGAATGTTTTCATCGGTATCATACTATTAGAATCACCGTCGTCATTGCCATTACCATTATTATTGATGGTAATTTCATTTGAAAAATTTTCATCATTTAATTTGGCCATTTTGTGTGTTGGATTGATGATAATCAGAAACAAAAACAACAAACAATGATGATGATAATGAAAGGGTTATTATTTGATTAAATTGAAAGGTAATTAAGTGATATTTTTTGAATATTAATAAAACATAAAACACGTTCCACAACACAACATAACGGTAACATCATCATCATAAAGAATAAATCTGATATTCGTTCAAAATTCTTTGAAGAAAAACTTTAGAAAAAATGAATTTTTGTTATTTTTGGTTGATTGGTTGGCAAGCAAACAAGTGATATAAGTGTGTGTTGTTTGGAGAATGAAAATGTTTACAATGCAATTCAAACTTGAAAAAATTCAAAAACAAAATTTCATTTCAACAATATTCAAATCAATAATGAAAATAGCAAAGAGAGAAAAAATTAATAAATCTTTCTCTTTCGTACATCTTTATCATCACCGTTTTTACCATGAATTTTTCATTTTTTCATTTTGTTTCTGCATCAAGAGTTTTCGATTCGTTGAATTGTTGTTGTTGTGAATTTTGGACATCGAATGGTCAAAAGGAACATTTCAAAATGGAAAAAAAAATTTGATTGATGGTTCTCGCTCTCTTGATGCTTATTTACACACACACAAACACAAGTAACCAATGAAGATAAAAAACACTAAACACGCATATTAAGAATCCAAAATTGAAAATTGAAACTTTACAAAATGACAAATGAAAAAAATAAATTTTGTTGAAACTTTATAACACCACAACAATACATTATTGTAAGATTGCCATTGAATATTTTTTCAATGTTTTCTCTCTCTATCGCTGTTTAACACTATTTTTTCGGTGATTTCACTATTCCGTTTTGTTTATGATAACAATAAATATCTTTTGTTTTTTTTTATTTTTAATCCAAACAATGTTGAAATGGCCATTTATAATCATATAGTGAATAATCGATTGAATGACATTGCCAATCTTTCCATCCATCCATCTCTCTCTCTTTTTTGTTTCAGTAATTTGAATAAAGAGAGAGAGAGAGAGAGAGAGAGACCAATAATAATTGAGAAAATTTTTCATTGTCTTGTTTGATTCGATTTATGTTTGTTTCATCAATTAAATTTGATTAAAGATTTTTTTCTTCTTGCTGAATCTATAATTGTTCATTATGTAAAATAATTTTTTTTTTGTTTGATAGATACCATCCCAATAGATCATTAATTTATCATTAGACATTTTTGGTTTATAAGAAAACACATTTTATATAGAGAATAATGCGATTTGATTATCGATTGATTGATTTTTGATTAGCCAGCTTGTTTCTATGAATCTTTGTGTTTAGTTTTTATTGAAATTCATTAGAATTTTTGTATTTTGTTTTCAAAATTAAAATTAATAAATTTCATTGAAAAAAATCAAATTTTTGTTGTTGTTATTTGAATTTAAACAACAAAATATTATGTCATAGAAAATGAGAAAGGAAAGGATTTTGTCATGTCAAAAAACAAAACAAAAATTGCAAAGGTTAACCTCGAACATAATTTGTTCATTCAATGATTTTTTCACTATGGTTATTTGACCACGGTGATTGTTTGTAACAATTGTTGTTGTTTGCAATGATCTAGATTTTCTTCAGAAAAAAAATGTTTGAATCAAAAAACAACAATATTTAAGGACATTTAATGTGTTCCGGTTTTTTTTACTCATGAACCGGTCGTTAACATGAGAGAGAAAGAAAGAAAGTCGAAACACAAAGAGATATTTAAATTGAATTTGGTCGTCAAATAAAAAACAATGTCACAATCAAGCAACATTTAACAATTTTGGTTTCTAAAATTATAATTTTGTCGATGTTGAACAACTAATGAACGACACAGCAAATATAGCGATTAGTGTTTCAACAAAATGAAATTTATTTTGGAATTCACTAAAGAAGCACCTTGTTAATTATTTTTTTTAATATAATTCCCAAAATGAAATGATTTTTAGAAAATAAAAAAACTTTTATTCAATTTTTAAAAGTATGACATTGAAACAGAACAAAAAACAATGATTATTATTAAGATTATTATGGCTGCTGTTATAAATGAGCAAAAACATTATTTATAAAAGTAATTTCCGAATCAATGAATGATAATGATTAATAACCGGCTGGAAGAAATGAAATTTGACACCAAAAAAAAAAGAAAGAAAGAAAATGTTTTGTTGAAAAATCAATGAAATTTTAAATTATCATGTTTTTTGGCTAATTTGGTTTATATGAATTTTTGTTATACTGTTTTGTTCTCCACCAAAGGTGCCTGTTGAATTGTTTCGGTTCGAATGTGAAACCATTGAAAAAATTATCTTCAGTCAAGATAATCTTTGAGAAAAAAGGAAATTTAAATGAATGAAAAAAAGTTAATCATTGTAATGATTGTGTTTGTGATGTGCGTGTTTTTTGTTTGTGTAAAGTTCGAATGAGAAAAAAAGGTGTAAACAAGAATGCTTGAAGTATATTTAGCTTTATATTTATATCATTATAAAGTGAAAAACAAATGAATATATCACACATTTATGAAATATTTATCAATCAAAATTAGTCGATCAACAACGATTTCAAATGTAAAGTAAGTTATGTTTGTTTGTTCGTGTGTGTATGTGTGTAAGAACAAAAAGAAAAATGAAAATTATTAATGGCACTATGTATGAATGAAATAAGAGCTTGTTTGTTCAACAGAAAATTCGTTTAAAACATTCAAAAATTACGGCAACAATCAAGAAACCAATAGCGACAACAAGAGCAACTATAATTTTATGGTAATATATTTTGAAAGGAGAGGATAGGGTGAAAAAATGAAATGAAATTAATCGCTTTTTTATTAGTTATGAAACATACCCAATGACCAGAATAGCAATGGATCCATACAATCGAAAATATTGTCATAGGCATCACAATAACTTGGATAGAATCCTTTTTTCAATGTACTCATTATTGAATCAACAGTTTCTTGTGCTGCAGATCCACAACGAAGACGAGCAACAGTTGTTAAACATTGTTTATAAGCAATGAAATCACAACAATAAGCCTGAAATTGAAAAAAACGGATATTAATTTTTAAAATCGAAATTCAATAAAAACAACCTTTTTTTGTCCATTTGGTTCATAAGGATTATCTTTCCAAAATTTAACTGCATTTTGACAACGATCAAATTCTTCACGATATTGAATCAAACAAGTAGCATCTTGAATATCAGATACAACTGAATTAATACCACTTGAAATAGATTTTTTAATTGAATCAAAATCGAATGCATTACAGCCATTATTTTGTTGAAAAATAATATTCATCATAATCATCATTGATAAGGTGAAAAGAAATGATTTAGTTATAAATCCAGCCATTATGTAATTTCGAAAACGAAAAAATTGTCGTTCGGAATTGAAAAGTTGATGACAAATCTCTTGTGAAAGCTTATTCTCTTGATGTAGAAACTTGTTGAATAGCAATGAATCTTGAAAACGGGAAAAGATTATGATGATGATTTTTAATGTTAAATCAGCAAATCGAAAATAGCAAATAGCAAGTCAAACACACAATCACTCAGTGAAAATCAAAAAATTCGATAATGAAATTCGATATTGTTTCCGAACAAAAACATTCACTCAACGAAAAACGAAGAAGAAAAAAAAGTTCGTTGTTGCAGCATGAAAACAAAGAGAATGAGATGCGGCTATGATAAAAATTTTTTTTTTGTATGTTCAAAATAGTACATGCGCATTTCAATCGAGTTTGTTCAATTTGTTCAATGCAGATATATGTATGCAGCGCAATGGACGAGTCCAAGTTCTTTGGAAATTCGAATTTTGGTTTTTTGTTTTTCCGTTTCTGGAATTTGAATTTTAATCGTCATCATCATCATCATTGTTGATTTTCCATTGATTGTCTACATGTAAACAACGAGAAAAAACAAATCACAAAAAACAATCGCATCAACCATAACCCATTATATCAGCCATTTGTTTGTTTAGTTCTTTTTTTTTGTTCCTTATCATATTCAACTCTCATTCATTGAATAAACGAGAAATTCGAATTTGGTCATCAATAATAATGATAATAACGATGATGATGAGGATGTTTAATAATAAATAATGATAATAATAAAATTAATTAATTCGTTTTAGTTTTGTTTTAATAAATAGAATTATTATTATTTGGAAATTCGAATTGGTTGTTGATAATGAGATATCAACAGGGTTATATTAATGTTTTTTGTTGTTCTAGATTTTTCGTTTTTCGTTTTTGTTGAAGATTCGGGCGCGGTCGATGTCATGAATACGATCATCGAAATCGAAATGAAAATTTAAGAAAAAATAATGAACATTTTTTTGGGATTTTTAAATTCAAGAACAATTTATTTTCTATATTTTTAAAAAGTGAATTTAGTTTTAATAATGTTTAATCTGATTGATCGAATTTAACCAAATAGTTTAAAATATCAATATGTGTTATGATGGCTTCAATCATTTGTCGAATTGGTTGTTGTTGTGTTGATTCACTAACAACAACAATTGCTACATATGGATTACGTCGTAATAAATGTATTAAACGTCCAATCGATTCATTTGATTGCATAATTGGAAATTGTCTTTGTACAACATTTGTTATTGGACAATCTAAACTTTTAATTGTACCAGCGGCTAATTTTAACATTATATCACCAACAGTAACCATACCGATTAATTGTTTTTGATTATTTCCATTATTATTGTTGATGACCACTGGTAATTGATCAAATCCATTCATTTTCATTATATTGATTGCATCTAAACATTTTGCCGTTTCTTCAATTGTTTTCACATTCACACCTGACATTAAATGAATGAATGAATCAATTAATTAATTAAGTATGTAAAGGTATTTCAAAAACACAAACCTTGAATCAATTCTTTCACAGTTTTATTATAAAACCATTTAGCTGATTGTTTGGGTTGAAGTTCAACCGGTAGATCAATATTACGTTCAGCCAACCAATCATCATCTAGAAATTTTGTCATATAATTACGAACACCATCCGGCAATACAATAACACAGCGTTGTTGTTCATTTAAATGTTTAGCGGCACGTAATGCACCAGCTAATGCTGAACCAGATGATCCACCACATAATAAACCTTCCAATCGAATTAATAAACGTGCTAAACGTAAACTTTCCCGATCATCAACTTTGATCCATTGATCAACAATAGTTCGATCCATTACTGTTGGTATGAAATCATAACCAATACCTTCAACTTCATAGAATGTAACATTTGTTTGATTAGGACCGGCAAGTATCGAACCAACTGGATCGACACCAATTATTTTGCAATCAGGTAACTCTTCTTTGATACGACGTGCAACACCGGTCATTGTACCACCAGTTCCAGCACCCATTACAATCATATCCAATTTTCCATCAGTTTGTTCAAGTATTTCAAATCCAGTTGTATCATAATGTGCTAATGGATTACCCGGATTACGATATTGATCCAATATTATTGAATTTTTAATCTGTGATTGAAGTTTTTGTGCAATACAAATATGACTATTTGGCGAATCAAAACGAGCACTATTTGGTGTACGAATAATTTCTGCACCTAATGCACGTAAAACATTTACTTTTTCATTGCTCATTTTTTCCGGCATAACAATTATACAATGGTAACCACGTATAGCTGATGCTAATGCTAAACCAATACCAGTATTACCGGATGTTGGTTCAATAATTGTATCACCTGGTTTCAATTTACCATCACGTTCAGCATCCAATATCATACGCCAACCAATACGATCTTTAACCGAACCGCCAGGATTGAAAAATTCACATTTAGCCAATAATTCACATTTAATATTGAAATATTTTCGTATACGATCCAAGCGTACTAATGGTGTATCACCAATATGTTCCAATATTGAATCCATAATTTTTGGTTTCGTAACATATTTACGATGACAATGTGGATTTGAAGCATCATCACAATTCAATGACCATTTACATTCCATTGGTTTATCTGGTGCAATATAACCAGGAATCGGTTCGGATGACGACGAATTCGGATTTATATTTTTATCCATATCCATATCATTTATTTTCATTTTTGTTGCCATTTTAAATTGACATTGAGATTGAGATTGAACTGTTTCCATTTTAGTTTAGTTTAGTTTATTTTGAGAAATTTTCACGATGACTAAATTTGAACAAAACTAGTAATGAAATGAAATGAAATGTTAAATTGTTTAGCTGAATTATTTTTGGAATGGTATCAAATCTAAATATCATGAGGAACGAAATCAAATGATCATTTTGATTTTATCAATAGGCAATAGCAAATAAAAAAAAACTTTTCCGTGTATTGAAACAAAAATATCAAACAGCATTGATAAAATATCAACTATTAATTATCAAAAGGCAAATATTTAAAAGGACATGATTATATTGTTTTAGCAATGATGATTGTCCCATATTGCTCAATATTTTTCAATTGATTACAAATTTTCCCAATTTTTGTTCAATGGATATGGTGTTTTTTTTGAAAAAATGCAGATCAATGGGCGATTGGTTTTTTTTTGTTGATTTTGATTAATGTTTGCCATTTTTTCATATCATTTGATTTTTATTTAAATGAACGTAGATATGGCTCGATAGCATTGATAGCACGACGTACATTGGCGCTATCATCGAATTTTTGATCATTATTATCATTATACCAATTGAATTGAAAATTATTTATTATTTGCCGTTGTTGTTGTCTTTGATGTTGTTGTTGTTGATGATGATGTTGTTTACGTCTTTGATTATTCATTGAATTAGAATTTGTTTTATAATTTAAAGATTCAGATTTTATCGATGACTTTGACGGTAAACAATGATGTTCGGTAATGAAACGTAAAAAATTTGTCCAACAACAATAATAGGATAAAAATGCTAAACATCCATCATCATCATCATATTCATTTCGATCAATATTATCATCATCCAAATCATTTTGATTAATTGATTTGGTTTTTTGAAAAAGATTTGCCAATTGATTGGAAAATGGTGTTGATGATGATAATGACAATATTGATGCACCGCGACGACGACGATAATCATTATTATTATAAAAATTTGATCGTTGACGATTGCTTAAAATTTGTTGTCGATTTAAATTTCCCATTGATAATAACATTGAACTAGTTTTGGCACTATCCAATACAATTGAACGTAATTGTTCACTTAACATACTATGATTATTATTATTGCCAAATAATGTTGATGATGTCTGTTGATTATTTTTTTGTGATTTTTTTGTTGTATCTAATAATTTTTGTTGTAATTCTTCACAATTCCAAACAAGTATCCGGCCATCATATGATGATGTGAATAATTTCCCAGGTACAACTTGTAATGCTGTTATTAATCCACTATGACCAGCGAATGTTTGCATTAATACAGCTGAATTAGCATCATATAATCTTGCACAATTATCATTACATCCAGTGTAAACTTTTTTAAAAAAAAATTAGAATAAAAAAATTAGTAAAAATGATTATAAGATTACTTACGAATTCCTTTGAAATATTGTAAACAACTAACTGGTGCTGTATTTTGATAATAAACACGTGTACATTGACCAAATTCCATTGCCCATGCACGTACAGTACGATCAGTAGATCCGGAATACAGTATACGTTTATGTGCTAATAAACATAATATTGATCCTTCATGTCCACTAAGATCACGTATAAATTCGCCGGTAATAACATCCCAATTTTTGATAACTGAATCAGCACCGGCTGTATAAATGAAACTTGATTCTTTTCCATCGATTGCCAGACAATTGATTGGACCTTTATGACCATCAAGTATATGTCTTAGTTCACCAGTAGCCAAGGAATAGGTAATTGCACGGCCATCAGTTGATGTTGTTATAATAATATCTAATTCTTGAATAATACCTTTCGATAGCATATCATTTTTTGATAAAATATTCACCAATGCAGCTTGTGTTACACTTTTTTCATGATCTTGCAATGTATATAAACATTGACCAAATGTTGTTGTGATTTTGATACGTTGTAATAGGTCACGTGATTCATTATCGATTGAATTACGATCGAATTGATTTTCACTTTGTACAATTGTCAATTCATTAGTTAATGACCAAACGCGCACAGTATTATCGAATGATGTTGATATTAATATTGGTCCATATGTGAGACATCGATTGATAAATGCATCATGACCATATAATGTCATAATACAATTACCACTTTCAATTAACCATATTTTTAATGTACAATCAGCTGAACCGGAAATAATCAAATAACGATGAACAGTACAGCAGGTAATATAATTTTGATGTCCACTCAATATACCGATCAATTCACATGGTGTTGAAAATGTACTCCATAATCGTACGATACCATCTTCACCACCTGAAACAAGTAATGATAAATCTTCACTTAATGCCAGGCAATTAACACCCGATCTATGATCATTAATTTCCTGTTGTAATAATAGATTATTATTATTAATTCCATTCACTAATGTTTTGGGATTTAAAATTCTTGTCGAAATAAAACTAGTACGTCTTAACAATGATTCAAATCGATCAGTGAATATTGTTGTGGATGTTGATAGAATTGAATCGATTCGAGAATTTAATTTTGAACTTTTTATTATTTTTATTGGTGGTTTTGGCGTTGATGTTCGATGATGTTCAATCGATAATTCATCGATATTTTTATCCATCAAATCAATTTCATCGTTATTATTGATTTCCGGTAAAGAAGAATGAATATCATCATCATCATCATTTTGATTTTCATTTGGACTATCATTATCTATTAATGTTTGATTATTTCCGATTATCATTGATGTTTTTGAATCATGATCATTATCATTGGATTGAATCAAATCTTTAATAATTAATTGTGATTGATTGATAGTTGTTGTTTCAAGAATAGGCGGTGCTGTTGATGATCGTTGATCAATCAACATTGATGATGATGATGATATAGGCTGTTTATCAATGATGATTGTTGTTGGTGCTGATTTCATTGTATTCCGTTTTTGTTGTTGTTGTTGATTATAATTATCGATTATTGTTTAATTTTGGCTGCAGAAAAACTACAAAAATCTCATCAAATTTAAACAAGAAAAATAGAAAATGGGACTAGGAATCATCATCATCATTCATTCAAAACAAGAATGAAAACTGAAATTCTCAAACCAAAAAAAAAACTGAAATACCAAAAACAGAAATGTAACGATATTAATGAATGACATTAAAAATTAATGGTCATCATCATCATATCTATTAACCATTCATCCACCATTATTCATATATATTGTTGACAATCCACCAGCAATAAAAAAAAAATCTAGGCCATCTGAATTCCTATATATAAATCCTATTCATTTTTGTAAACACCTTACCACAAAATGGATGATTATCATCATTGGTAATAAATGAATGAATAAATTGGAATGGAAAAACCAGACCAAAATCATTAATATCCAATTAATTATTTACAATTTACATTATCCAAAAACAAAAATATCAACTTTAAATGGATTGTGGTGGTGGTTTTTCCATTTTTTAATATTTGTTGTGAAAACGACACACTAAACAAAATGATGATCCATGTTTGACCTTTTTTAATGTTTTTTCCATATTCATTAAAAAAATCGATAAGGATTTTAGAAAACGATATTAAAATGATTGCAATTTACCATTGAAACATCTCTTCCAGATAATAATAAAAACAAAAACGCAAGAGCAATAGTGTAACTATGCATACACCTAATATGAATTCCATTGAATATTCTCTATGTGGATGATATTATTGCTTTATTCCAGGTTTGTTTTTGTTTTGGTGAATGAAAAATAAAATGAATAACCCTAAAGAAGAGAGGAAAATTGAAACAGATCAACCAAGCATATCAAATGGCATTTTTGTTGTTGCTTCTTTCTCATCCATTATTTTGGAGCAAAATGAAATGATTTATCAAAAAAACCATGGAATTTTAGTTATTTAGATATTCATTTTTTTTATTGACGGGAATATTCTATTTCAATCGTTTGAATGTGAAAATTCTTTCTTTTACCTTCATACCTCAGAGGAATTTAGGTCACAACCACCAATGTAATAATTATATTGAAAATTTTCGAATAAATATTTCCCGAGATTTTTTTCCTGAAAATTTTCCGTTGTTTTCATGAAAATTCTTTTATTTTCTTTTCTTAAATAAAATTTTTTTTTCTTCAAAAAAACAAGAATCTTTTTTTAAAATTTCAAAGCAATCATTGTGTATAAGGTGTGTGTGTGTTGTGTGATTGGGTAAAAGAATCGAGGGAAACATAAATACAATGTATATTGCACCAAATAAACACAAATCAAACAGACAAACAAAAATAAAAAAAACCAAAGAGTTTTTTGTTTAAAATTGATAGAAAATTGGGTCAAAACACAGAAGAAAAAAAACAAGATGTTTTCGTTGTTATTGTTTTGAATGATAAAAAATAAAGAAGCCGATTAATTAATGTTAATGATGATGATGATGATGGTGATGATGATGTCATTTGTTGTTGTTTTCGTTGTCGTTTATCCAGAAAATTAGAAACAAGGAAACCAAAAACGAAACGAACGAAAAAAGTCATTTTCATTTCAATCGAAATTGTTATCCGATACAATTTCGATTAATTAATGATTTAATTAATTAATCAATAGAATCAATCAGATTGATCGATCGAACGATCGAACAAACGATCGATTAATTGATTAGATAATATATTGATAATAAGGGACATATTGGGCTGGTTTTGTTTTCATTATTTGATTTATAATCAACAATTTGTTTGATGTTGACAACGATAGATGGCGACATGAAACAATTTTTTTGGAATTGAAAATCTTAATATTTACAAAATGATTTTCGGACAGTTTTTTCTTTGTTTTTCCAATGTGTTATATTGTGGATTATACAAAACAAAATGTAAATAGTAAATATGTAAAACAATTGAATAAGAAAAATTGAACGAAGGAGATTGAGATTATGAAAAGGGCGGCGCGATTATGTATTGATGTTGAAAAATATGGCCATTAATAATAATAGTAATAGATAATGATGATGATGACCATTATTTAAAATGATTGCAGAATTATTTTCACCTGTTTCTAACCATGATTGAGCTGGTTTGGAAAGAAAGTTTAAATAAATGTTTTCAAATTGAAATTCAATATTCAGTAATAATTACCTATATTTGGTACAAATATTGTACTTTTTCTTAGCTCATGTTTTAATTCATCTTGAGCAACTAAACATTCAAACATTGTTGGTTTTGCCATTATCGTTGTTGTTGTCGTCGAAGTCGTTGTTGTTGCCGATGATGATGGTACATTCATTCTGGATTGCTGTTGTTGTTGTTGTTGTGGATGATAATATGAATGATATGAATGTCCATCATTAGATGACATTGGCTGTGCCATTGGTAAACGATCATTATTATTATTATGGTTATTATTATTATCGGTATTAGATGTTGATAACATTAATAAATCTTCATCATCAATTGATAGAATCATTGATACACGAAAAGCTCCATTTGATAATTGTGTTGAATTTTGCTGTACACGTGCACGTTCTAATGAACGTGGACGATGTCCATCACCAATACTACCACCGATACCACCATTATTATTATTATTACCACCTAATACTTGATAAATAGTAAGCTCAGGTAATGGATATACATTTTCAACTGTACATTCAATTTCGGTTACTGTAACTAAATTTTGCTGTTGTTGTTGATCATTATGATTAACACCTCGGGATATTGCTGAATCTTTAGATTCTTGTTGTTGTTGCTGCAATCGATGTCTGGTATTTATTGATAAAGGCCGTTTTGATGAATCAAATAAACGTGATGATGATGATAGTCCAGCAGTAGCAGCTGCAGAACCACCACTATTGTCAAATGGACGTTGATGTTGTCTTTGATGTTGATGTTGATATTGATGATTTAATGAATGATCCGATTGTTGTTGACGATCCGATTGTATATTATTATTATTATTGGATGTTCTTATGTTGATTATATTCGTTGTTGTTGTCGATAATGTTGGTGGTATGAATCCTTGAGCCGAAATTCTTTCATTATTTGTATAATTTCCTGCCTGATTCTGATTCTGGTTATGATGATAAATTGACCAGCCAGCAGGCAATGATGGTCCATTATGATTATGATTATCACCATTATAATATTGATTATTATTTGATTTAAATTTATTTGAATAATTTCGTTGTCTAGTTACACGTCTTGTAACCAGATTGATGGATTTTGTTTTTGCTATAACATACATTATTGATTTGAAATTTTGAAAAATATAAAAAATAACATCAAAACAACAACAACAACTTACCATAAACAATCATTGTATCAGCATCATGTGCTTCACTTGTTAATGCAATCACATGACATGAATAACGTCCAGTCATTTCAACTGTTGGTTTGATTAAATTCAATGAACGATATTGTTGCCATGGTTCAGTTAAATTTGGCATACGATAATTTGGATTAATCCATCCTTGATAGCGTTGCGGTACATGACGTGAATCTAATTCATAAATCCATTGATAAATTGGTTCAGGATCTTCACGAAAAAACCATTTTACAACTAATCCGGGATCTTCATTCGGATCTAGTGTATATTCACAATCAAGTACAATTGAATCATGTGTACCATTTTCAATATATTTGGGCACTTTGATTTGATGTATTTTTACTTTGGCATCACAAACATCTATCAAAATAAATAAACAAAACAATCAATTAAAAAACTTTAAAATTTTCAAACATTCAAAACAAACGCAATTCAGATAATGGAGAAAATAATATAGCCCGAAGAAATCTGAATTAACAAGAATATTCTGATAAAAGAAGGAAAAAAACATTGAACATTAATCGATTTCAATTTCAATATTCAACATCACAAACAGATTTTGCAATATGCAAATATCAAACATCACAGAAACGGAAAATTACCTTTCCATTGAAATCGGAGAATATTTTTTAAAACATTGAATCGAACAAAAATACTAACTTCCATCATCATCCCTATATATATTGATCTCTAATCTTTTGCATGAAAAAATAATGTTCACATTTTTTCTGTGTGAGAAAAGCAAAAAAAACCAGCAAGAACAATTGCTTGTGTATCATCATGTCGTTCAACTGAAGAAGAAAAAAGTTTGAATTTCCATTTTTCCATTGCTTTTTTGCACCCTGTTTTATTATTAATATATATTTTTTAATATTTTCTGGTTCACTTGGCATATAATAACAACAACAACGAAGACGAAAAGAAAAATAATGTCCATAATACATACAAACACACACACAAGAATATTAGCCGTAGGCATAAGAATTCAGAATAAATCTATATCTATTTTTTGGTTTGGTTTTGCGTTTTGGGTTTCGTATTTCTTTCAGATAAGTATATTTCGTTGCACTTTTTGTTTGATAATAATAATAATGATGAAGACATCCATAATAATAATATTCATCGTTTTCCACCATTTTCCATATTTGAAAGAATTTTTTTTTTTTTGATGCAAAAAAAACGAATTTTAATAGATATCGAATAAATGGATCAACCATCCATCCATATAACGAGAATTGAACAAACAAACAAAACAAAAATATATAATCGTCATTCGTAAATGATGCTGATAAAAAAGTGTAACTCTAAACATCCGGTACAATATAATACAATCCTTTCAATCCATTCGATTAGCTTACTGTTGTTGAGTAGAAATATAGCTATATAAACATTTATTCTTTTTTTGTATGTATGTTTTCGCTACATTTGGATGATGATAACGATGAAAAAAAAACGAATGAAATGGATGTGATGATAGAGAAAATGTAAAATAAAAAACTTTAAAATTTAAACTTTCTTTGAAATTTTTTCTTCATCATCATCATCATCAATTCCAAAAATACGGGTGAATGGGGAGGTGGTGGGAAATTCTTTCTATTTCGATTATTACCCATCCACCCACAAGTGTAAATTTAAAATTCCACCCCAAAAATTATCAACACCCACCTAGTCTCAAAAGTTTACCCCAATCATCAACATAAAATGAGCAATGAATATACATTGCACACCCGAACAACAACAACAAAAAAAAAACGAGAAAAAAAACTTAAAATGATGTGCTGGTTGCTGAGAAAAACGAAACGAAACGAAAAAAAACAATAAAAACAATATGTGTGCTTATATATAAACCGAAGACGACGACGAATATATATTCATTTGAAACATCCTTTTCCAAAAGTTAAATTTGAATATTTCCATTTTTTTTTCATTCGAGAAAAAAAAATCAACAGAATCCAAAAAAAAAATATTGCCTTTTTTCCTCTCTCTCGTACCGATTGTAGTTCAATTCTTGTTGTTTGAGTTGTTGTATGGGGTAGTTTTATTTTATTTTATTTTTAATATTTCTAGTTCTTCACGTTTCACGTCGTCAACAATTTTTTTTTTTGTTGCTTAACCATTCGCCTACGCGTATAGAAAATTTTAACCCAAACGAAGCCAACGAATAAAGAAACCATTGAAAGCACATTGATTCATTTCGAAAGAGAGAGAGAGAGAGAGAGAGAGAAATTGAGTTTCGTTTTTCCCGGAATATTCCTTTTGCTTTTTTTCATCTGGGTTATATGCAAAAGTTTTTTTTCTCATTTCATTTCTTTGAAATATAAATATTATGTTATGTTTTTTTTGCTCTCATCATCATCATCATCATTTTGTTCAATGGAAACAGGCCTAAGGCCTAGCTTTTTTTGTCTGTATCGTCAATATCGAATATGATCATTTTGTTTTTGTTCAATGTGACAATATGGATGACATTTGGTTAATCATACCAGACAATGATTTTGTTTTTTGTTTTCTTTTTTCGGAGAAAAAGAAAACCTCGAATAAATGATACAAACAAAGGCGCCATATAAATGAAATGAAATAAAAACAACAATCAAGATGAAAATGATAAAATAATTCGTGTATATAGATCAAGAATGACAAATGTATGTGATGATTATGTTTCAGAGTCATATTTGAAACAAGAAATGGAACAACAACAACAACAAAAAACATTCAATATTCCATTAGATATTTTTGGAGAATCTGCATCACTAACCGAAACAGAAAATAACAGAACATAAACATCGACAATCAAAAAAGAAAACATGATGCTTATTTGATCATCATATTATTATTAGACTAAGAAAGAAAGAAACAAAAAAGATTCGATTGCAAATTGATATGTATGTGTTTTGTTCAATCAATCTATCCATCTATCTATCTGAATGTATTATGTAACAATAATAACAGTTTCAATATTGGTTTTTGCCTCTCTGATCTCTCTCTCTCTTCGGTCTAGTTTTGGCATTGCATATTTCAATTTCAATTTCATTCGCATTCTGTATGAAAAAGGAATTGATGAGGTATACAATTGATTATCATTATCATTATTGGCTATATTGTTTTTTCGATTCAATTATTATTTCTTTTTTTCTCTTTTTGACTATTGCTTGCTTCACATTTACTGGTTTGTAACAATTTTGTTTCCAGTTTATTTTCAATTATATGCATGTAACACATCTGCTGCTGCTTTGTTAAATGGGAATCAATGAAGAAAATGCAAACGAGATTTTTTGGTAGTGCAATGCAAAAAATAACATATTTTTTCACCTGATGATGATGATGATACAAATCAGAAATCTAAAATCGCAGATGATATTCTTATAATAACGTCTGACAATGATCATCATCATTTGTGACATGCATCAAATTGATGAGAATTTGTTTCATTTTTTTTAAATTTCTTTAAAAAAAATTTGCAAAAGTTGATCGATTTCGATCAAGCAACAAACGAAAAAAAAACAATTGAAATTATGGATAAATTCTCATTATAGCATCGATAAAGTTTTTGTCTGTTTTCTCCATTTTTCTAAAAAAGAAAAGAAAATGATGATGATGATTGCGGTAGGGTATATTGCATCCACTGTTTTTGTGTCGCATTTCGAGCCAAAAAAAAATTGAAACCACTTTTTTCCGTTTGGAAACATAATGATGATGATCATCATCATTTAAAACCATCAAGAAATGAAAGAAAAAAATTCGAGCAGATGGTTCCACATTGCGTTTAAATTTTTCATTTCACTTTTAAGTCTTGAAAATGAACAACGGGGAGGGTGGGGTAGACACACACAACTGAAAAAAATTCGAATCACATTTTTTTTCTTCATTAACTTTCAACATAGAAAAAAGTTTATTCAGAAATTTCTTTCCTGAAAAATTTTCCCCTCCCTCATCAACATCGTTGAAAATTTCTCTAAATTCATTTTTTTTTTGATTTCTTGAAAAATTTCTCCTTCATCATCATCATTTTGTTTGGAATGTTTCTTTTCAGTGTGTTTTTTTTTTGAAAACCGGGTGGCCAACAAAAACATTTGAAATTTGAAAGTGAAAATTGAACGGCCGATAAGAATAAACACACAAACACAACACTAATTGACACACGTGGCACATCTTCAATGTTTTTTTTTCTTGACTATCATAGTGAATATATGACACCTGACAACTGAAACCTGTCATTATTGTGTGTGTATTAGTTTTCCAGAATCGAGAATAGTACTATGTTAGTTGAAAGTTGAGAGTTCATTTTTTCGGAAATTTGTTTTTTTTCATATTCTCGTTTCTCGTATTTTGAAAAATGAAAAAAAACAAATTTCAGAAAACATTTCTATCAAAAAAAATTGAGTGAGTGAACGAATGGAAAAAAATTTGTTTGAAGCCCAAAGGAATTGTGAATTGGAATTTTTTTGTTCCTGTTTTGAAAATAAAAAAAAAATTGGAAAATTGCATTGAAATCAACAACAACAACGACAAAATTTAGCTGATTTTGACAGGTCTATAACAAAGTGGAAAAGGAGAAGAAAAATTCTGTCCAACAGAAAAAGAATTATCAAACAAATTTTCAAACAACAAATCAAAACATTGAAAAATTGGAATTGTAAATCAACGATGATGATGATTAAGTTAATGGAAAAGTTGAATATTTTGTTGAGAGATTCAAATTAAATTAGAATTTTTTTTTCTCAAAAACATTCCTACCAAAAAAAAAATCAATCATAATATTTTTAATCATCCTTTTTTCCCTGATTTTTGATCAATAGAGTGAAAGATTAAAATCAATCATGAATGATATAATGGCTTTCCGGAATCGAATGATGATGAGAATTTTTAGCAATTTTGTTGTTGTTGGAATTTTTCGAACCAATGAAAAAACAAAACTTTATTATCGATCAAATGGAATTTCTCAATTTCTTACAATCAAAAAATTGATGATAATAATGGAAGTAAATCAAAAAAAAAAATCCAAATCACATCTTTATGTCACTATATAAGATGATGATGATGATCATTATCATGGCTATTTTTATTGTCTTCTTTATTGTCCAAGAAAGTTTTTCATTTTTTTTTGTTGTTGTTGTTTTGTCTTTTGCTGTCTATAATAATACATTCCATTCGATTAATATTATCAATACCAAACCCAAAAATATTTATATCGAACATCGAAGATATTTGTTGTTTTTCAAACCATTTTTTTTCTTTTTCATTTTCAAAATGAAAATTATTGTCAAATTGATCGATTCTCGTTATTTTTTCTGATTTGATTTGCTGAAATTCCAAGAGAAATTTCTTGTTTTGTTTTCTATTTGTTCTGAAAAAAGAAGAAATCATTATCAATCGATTGAGTGACAATTTTTTGTTTTTGGAAAAAATGAATGTGCAATGGATTTTCGCAATTCGTTCTTAGTCGTTGTCGGAATTTAAATCTTGAAAACAAAGATTTATTTAAAATTCTAATTAGAATTTGAATAATAAAAAACAAAACAAAACAACTCTGATGATGATGCAAAATTCTAAATTCAAAGTTTTTTGTTTTGAATTTTCTCACAATGTATGTTGAACATTTTCATCTTCTTATTCAAAGACAGTCCCCAGAAGACATTCTTACCGATTCCATTTTCACACACGCATACAGAATTTCATTGAAGAAAAAAAACTTTCAAAATTCTTCGTTTTCCGATTTGAATTCCGGTTGTTTTTTTCTGTTTGCTTGCTTGCAACTGGAATTAATGTTTGTTTTGTAATTTTTTTCTCTTTCATTCAAGTCAAACTTTAATGGAAAGTTTTCAAGAAAAACGAACGAAAAAACTCAAATTTTCTATTTTCAAAGTTTTTTTTTTGGTACTGAATTAATTTTCAAAAAAAAACAGGAATGAAAAAGATTATTATTTTCACTGAATTTTTGGTTCGAAATACGCATGAGTTTAAATTTCACTTCAATGAATGAAATTGATGGATGTTTTGGGTGTTTTTTTCTGTTTTTTTTTTCTATTTTGATACACACATTTCGTGTCAAGTGTTTAACCTAAAACAATTTTCGACATTGATGGATCAAGATTGAACGATTGATTAAAAACGAAAAAAAAGGACTGAAAAAAAAGAAAGAGAAAAAGTTGAAAAACTCAAGATGATGATCTTAAGCCGCGAACAAAAAAAACGAAAAAACAAAATGATCTCTATGACGAGAGAGATGATAACCGGATACTCGACCGGAATCGAAATCGAAACCCAAAAAAAATCATCAAAAACGCTTTTCTTTTACTTGAAACAATTTTTTCTTTCGATTCCCTTAATGGTTGGCCCAATGTAAAAAAAACAATTTGTTTCACTTTCACTCACTCACTCACTCATTCTTATGGCTATTATATGATCAATCGACAAATCATCCATCATTTTTGTTGGTGTATAGGATGTCAAAACAATGATCATATGATGATAGTAATTCTATTACAGTGTGTGTGAAACATTGTTCTAATGTGAAAAGTGAAAAGGAAGAAAAAAAATCAAGAATCGAATCAACAACAACAACAATCATCAATTATAAATATAGATAATGTTTTTTTTTGTTTCTTTGGTTTTTAACAAACATTGCAAATAACACTTACCAAATCTATTGATAATCATTAGAATCATCATCATCCAAATGATCACAAATTTGGCCATATAATAATGATTATTTTGTTGTTGTTGTTGTTGATAACGGCGTTGCGGCGGATGTGGATTCGAATGATGGATATTTGCTGTTGTTGTTTTGGTAATGTTATTTGTTGTTACTAATGATGAACTAATTGAATCACTTGAATTACCATCATTATTATCATTATCATATATTTCATTATTTTTAAACCGTAATTTTTCTTGTAAATCATGATGATGACCACTGGTTGCATGATGATGCATTGATTTTATAAATAAATGAATGCAATTTTTAATAAGAAAATAATAATAATTATAATATTCATAATAATTTAATGATGATAATTTTTCAATTTTATTTAAAGCTCGATTTTCATCATTTTCATGTTGTTGTTGTTGTTGTTGTTGATTTTGGTCATCATTGTCAATTGACCGATAATTTATGATATGTTTTCTCCACAATAACCATAATGATAATAATTGAAAATAAATTAAAATTTTAATCATTATCATGGTAGTGGTCAATTGAATAATGAAATAAATATGATAATGATGATGGTGATGATGAATAAATGATGCTGTTGATGATGATAATACCATGATCATTGTTAATGGTATTTTTGTCCAGAATTTTTGGCACCAACATTGTAGAATTAATTGATTATTATGATGATGATGGTCATGAACAATTATGAATGTTACTGTGGACTTCACGGGAAATGATGATGATGATGATTTATAGTTACAACAACAACTTGTTGTCGTTGCTGTTGTGGAATCTCTAATTATTGAATCATCATCAACAACAACAACTGGGATATTAGAACAATTAATCTCCATTGTTATTGCTCTTCAAAACTTTTTCTTTTTTTGTTCATTTACAACAAGTTTTACATTTTCGTATTTTTTCTGTTTCTGTTTATACTTAACACATCACACACAAACAAAACTTGTCACTAAAATGAAACTTGTCACATATGAATTTTTGTAAATATGATAAATGTGTCGATATTTGAGCTTTGTGGTGACATTTCTGCCGCTGTCAATGTTAGTCGTTTGTTAATCTAGTTTTTCTTCGTGGTCCATATATCTAAATATCACTTTTTTTGGTTTCACTTTTGATGAATATTCTGTTGAAATTGAATAACAAACAAATTCATTAATTTCAATTTAGTTTTTTTTGTAGTTGTTGAATTTGATAAAAAGAAAAAAAATAAAGTTTGTCAAGAATCAAGAAAAATTTATCGTCAATTTTTCTGTTTTTCGTTTTTTTTTCTGCTTACGTTGACAATTTTTATTTGAATATTGTTGTTGTTGTTACTTATTGTCGACATTAATTTACAAAAATAGTTTTTTTTTGTTTTGTTTTTTGAATTGGAGAAAAAAATTATGGAATCAGAAAAAGTGAAAAAAATTCTCATTCACATCGAAAACTAGAAAAAATTTCCCATGTTCAGCAGTAGCAGCAGTTTGATGCAATGCGATGCGATGCAATTGGCGACAAATCGGATTCCTATGGTTAAATAGAATTTGGAAAGAAAACGATTAATTAATATGGGAAAAATGATAAATTTTTTTTTGTTTTGAAAAAAAATCCAAATCCAATCAAGCTTGACTCGTCAACGAGTGAATAAAAAAAAGAAGAATACTTTATCAAACAAACATCATCAGTGAAACAAACAAACAAACAAAAAATTATTCTGCCAACCGATGTGGAAAAATAATGTTGTGTATGTATGTTGTGTGAGAAAACGTTATAGCAAAAAGAAACAATAAAACATTCATTCATTCATTCATTCAGTTGATTGGCTGTGAAAGTTGCCAAAAAAAACTGAAAATCACTAAAATCATTTTCTCTCGTTGTTGTCATTTGGTTTGGTCGGGTTTTAATTTTTTTTTCGGATTTTTTTATTTAAATTTTACACTTTGTTAACTTGGAAATTTTCAAATACAAAAAAAACGACGAGAACAACAGCAAAGTAATGAAATCTTTTTCGCAAACATCCCTTTATGCCTTTTGGCATCATCATCATCATCATTATTACAGAGCAATTATCATCATCATCAACAAAATGGGTGAAAATAGTTGGAAATGAAATGATTTTTTTTCAAACAATTTTTTTGCCTAAACTGAAATGAAAGAAGGCAAATCCATAGAATATTGGTGGCTAAAATGAATAGAAGGAAGCACATCACATCATCATTATCAATGAATTTGATTATGTTTGTTTGAAATGTTGCGAAATTTTTCTGTTTAATCTGTTTAACCATATGTATAGCCATTTACGAATTGAACATTTTTTTTTGTGTTGTTTCGTTTCACACATATGTTTTGACAGAAATCCAGAAATTCAGAATTGAATGAAAATAACATTTAGAAGAGAAAAACAAAAAACAAAAAAAGTAAAAGATTCTAATCAAAATGATGATGGTGATAATGCTAATTGCATTGAATGAAACTGCAGTGCAATTCTTGTTGTGTAATGATGATGATCATCATTGCAGCATTTCAACAAAACTTGCAAAAAAATGTCCTTTTTTTTCTTTAAATTTTTTCAATCGATTAATGTTGACAAACAACAACAGCAAAAGTTAATGATGAATAATAATTTATTATCATTTTCATTTTTTTTTCTGAAAAAAAAGTTTCAGGTAATCATTTTTATTTACCTGAGAAAAAAAGAAGAAAAACTTTTTCATTTCTTTAGTTTTTTTTGATTGTTTGATTCAAAATTCATTCATTCATTATTCTTTTGAAATGAGGAAAAAAATTTCTTATTTCAAAAACAAAAATTCCTGGATCGTTATTTGAGGATCAAAAAGCACACCAACCAACCGACCAAACAATTGCATTGCAATGTGATTCTCTATGTTTTCGAGCAAAATAATAACAAAAAAAAAACTTTTTTATTTTCAATCGATCGATCGATCGATTTTTTAAAAATAATAACTTTGGTTGTTTGGTCGCCGCGTTTGTTTTCTCTCTTTCACTCACTTATGACAAACTTATTATATAATGATTGTTTCATAAATTCTGTGTGTCTCTATTCTTTCTCCCTCCTCAAACTATAATCGTGGGTGGAAATCTTTGTAATAAAACTTTGTACACCTTTCGCTATATACACACACACACCAATGATAATGATCACAGAATATCAGATATATAAAAAAAGTGAAATATATGTTTGTGTGTGGAAATAGACGAGAGAAAAATTGATCACAATCATCATCATTATCATTATTAATGACACTTTTTTCTTTTGGACAAAATTTGTGAAATTTTCATTTATTTATCTCTTCACTACCCACCATTTCGTAACTATGGAAGCAAACAAAAAAAAACGAAAAACAAACAAACAGGTAGAACAAACAAACAAACTTTTTTTAATCAAAAGAAAGAGAGAAAAGCTTTGTTTTCTTTAAAACAAAAATGATTCCGACAAATGTAAAGAATTCAAATTGATTACATCAGAAGAAAAAACGCGATTTGTTTGTTTGTATTTTGGAGATTTTTTTTCAAAAAAAAACCAAAGAAAAATATGCAGAATATTCTCTTTTATTTCATTCTATACACTCAATAACAACTTTATTTGGTTTTTTTCGTTTCGTTTTTTGTTACACGAATCGGTTTCATTTCGATCGATTTTTTGTTTTGTTTTGGGCATGAAAAAACAAAACAAAATTTTACATCTGGTTTTATTTTATGAAACAAACAAACAAAATCTTATTCTTTTGAAAAATGAAGGAAAAGATGATGTATACGAAAGATTTTGTTGTTTGTAGTTTTTTCTTTAAAAAAAACAACAACATAGGAATTACATTGGATTGTATACAATGAAAAATTGAAAGAAAAAAAAATTCGTTTTTTATCAATTTTTCTTTTTGATGTTGTTTAGGATTTATTTAAATTCAACATAAGTCATGATGATGATGATGTAAGTTACAAGAATTTTCTTAGCTCATCGTTGTTGTTGAACATGATTTTTCAATTTTTCAAATTTTTTTTTTCACCGCCTTTAACCATGTAAAAACATGATACCTGTCATAAAACACAGGAAAACAAGAAAAAACATCACGCATAAACATTGTCATCATTCATTCATTATCATTCGCGCATCACCATGTTTATTTGTAAAAAAAAGATGCTTTCAGGATCATTCATTTGAGTAATAGAAAAAACATATTCAGAACCGAAAAAAAAAATTTCTTCAAACAAACAAAAAAAAACAGATATCGTATTGGATTCGATTGAATTTCGGGGATTTTTTTCAATTTCATAAATTTTTTTTTATTCAAAATTCAATTCATCATTTGATTCAAAAGTGATTCAAGTGTAAAATTTTTCCATTCATTGAACACACACACAGTGAGAGGAACAAAAAATTCATCCATTTCATTTTCGTTTATGATTATTGTTGTTGTTGTTAAGGATAAACAACAACAACAAACAAACAAACAAAAAATATAAGCCTAAAACTTGGTGATAAAATAATTTGAAAATTGTTTTTTTCCCGTTTTTGAGAAAATTCTCATCATTTTTGAATGTAAAAATGGACGAATATAAATAAAGAATGTGAATTTTTTTTTATTATCAATAAAAATTTGTTTATTTTTGTTTCGCTTGGCTATTTTGTAAAGAAAAATGGAAAGATTATTTTTGGTTTTTCTCAAAAAATATTCGTCTTTTCTTTGGATTATCGTTATCAAAAAATATTCAGATTCGGATTTTGTTTTTGTTGTTGTAAATTTTTTTTTCTCAGAAAAAATGAATTGAATATTTTATCGATTACAGAACGAGAGAGAGAGAGAAAAAAAATGATTTTCTTTTATCGATTTTGTGTGCGACAAAAACATTGAAAAATTCTCTTTTTCTCTTGAATATAATTGGCAATCACACACACAAATTGATCATTTATTATTTTTGAGATTTTACTTCATTATTAACAACAACAACAAAATATATAAATTACAAATATTCTTATTATAAGTATTGAAAAAAAGACAAGGCAAACATATTTATATTACAATTATAAATATGTTTTTTTTTTGGGGTAATAACAAACAATATTTATTGAATGAAATTATTTATTTCCATTCATTAAATACGTAAAAATATGTTGTTTGTTTGTTTGTTTGTATTCGGAATCTGAAACAAACATAGTCAATTTGATGATAATTTTTTTTCTCTGCTCTTGTCACATAAACAGAAATGTACAGAAATGAATCGAGTAACAACGACAACAACAACAAAAATTCCTTTCCTCATCATCATCATTTTTATCATATAGTTCATTGATATTGTTGTTGTTGTTGTTTCGTTCAACAATTTATTTGCAAAACAAAAAAAAACTCAACTAAATTGATAGTGGACAGTAGTTGTAACGAAGAGTGAATAAGTGAAATAAAATGAATGAAGTAATAAAGAGAATATAGAGAAAATAAATGAGTAAGATTTTGCCC